TTAAAGATTTTTTTTATTAAATAAATAAAATAATAGAACGTCAATATTATTCAGTTTGGCTGCAGTTTAATATTATTCGGTTTGTCAATAAATCAAAGTTATGGTTAACTTATAAATAAATGATAAACATGCCAAAGTCAAATGATAATCGTATAATGTGGTATCCTAATGCAATCTTTGACTAAGTTTATCCACCATTCCTTGCTTAGAACATAAATTTGCTGTAGAAACTTATGCTTTAATGTAATAAAGATAAGGAGAGACAGACAATTCTAAATCATTATCTTAGGTTTTGTGGGTTAATCTAACTAGCATTTTGGACCAACCACTTTTTTGAGTTTTTCCGCTTCAGCATCATAGTAATTGCTCCATGCTTCACTTAAAATATTCTTCTAGAAATCATAGAGGATTGAAATCAATTAGTTGCAGGATTCCCTGAAAAATAGTGGGTTACAAGAAAAAGCTAGGGATGACCGTAGATAATATCAATATTTTTCTTCTATATTATCAACTATTTATATCGCTCCTACGATATTTTAATTTAAAAATAAAAATTAAAACTGTCGTTTTCAGAAAGCTCTAAGTACTGTGTATGAATCTGATGGTTAAAAAAAAAATTTACTCATTTTGCCTGTTCTCATATAGAGTTAAATAGCACACATAGATTATAAACTTATAAGCATAGGACCTGCGCTAAAATTCATTCATTTGGAACATAGGTAACTTTGTTGTGAGTAATTTATGAGTGTAAACTCAAATTTAATAGTTAGAATCTTTACAAAAAAAACTATGTGGGCTACAAATAAATTTCTGTTCTATAAGTGAATGGAAATTTATAAATAAAAGCTGAGGATGACGAAAATAGATAGAACCTGTAAATTAATTTTACTTAGGAGAGTAGAAGAATTGACATTTCCATTCATTAATTTAAAGAGGAAAATAACATATTTTTTAATGTGTGTATGTCATAGAGAATCACCAATATTTATATTTTAAAATTACTGGATTTTTAAAAATTTTTATAATATCGACTCTCGATAGTATGGATATTTCAAATCCGATACTTCAATGGTGTTGATAGTTTAGGCCGTCATCTCTATCAATGACAATATAGATATTGGCCTTTCAATATCCCATTCCTGAAACAAGCTAAGGAATCAACTGCAAGAACCAAACTTTGACTATGACCTATGTTTATACCTGAAATCAGCTGTATTGGAATCAGCAACTAAAATGTGTCGTGTAAAGGAAGTCAGGCAAAAGGAAATTCTGTATCCAGAATGACAGGATTAGGGAAGAACTGAATGTTTGTTTGGTGATGGAAACCCTAGAGAAGTGGCAACTATGGTGATATGAACACATCTACCATATTGACTAACAGAGAAACTCAGTTGAAACCGTAGAGGTGAGACCAAGGAGAGAGTGGAATGAAGGCCGAAAAGGCGTCCAAGAACCTCCTATATCACTCAAATGAAATTAATAAGAAGACGGAGAGTGAAAACATTGGTAGAAATGAGGAACATTGCCAGGGAAGGGTAAGAAGGTAGCGAAACATATGGCACCTAGGGCTAGAAATACTCTCATGCTGAAAGGCAAATGGATGGAAGAAGAAGGAATTACATTAATTTTTTCTTTAATATTAAAAAAAAATTCTTTATTTACTGAAAATTCAATATTTTTAATATAAAATATTTGAATAAAAAAAGACTACAGAAATCATTCAAAGATTTTCAAATATCAAACGTGGCAGTGTATTGAAATTGCGTTAGACCAATTACCATAGCATTCATTTCATGTGCGTTAGTGCTGCCTTTTACCTCCCTCGAAAGATTTTGTTTACTCCTCCTAAGATATTTGATTGCTTGATTCTTCTTAATAACAACATGATTAAATATAGAGTTATAAAAATTGTAGTGAAAAAATAAACCTTACTCATGAAAGAAACCCTACAGTAAATGGCACAGACTTATTGGAAGGTAAAGTTAAAGAAAATAATTTATTAAAAAATAAAATAAACTGAAATAAATGAAAAACTGATTTCTAAAAGGAACATAAACAGTGATAATTATTACTCAAAAGTTAAGTATTTTTAAATAATAGCATATCGAATATTTAAGATGTATCATACTACTTCCAGAATACATAAGGGGAAAAATAAAAAATAAATAAAAACAGTGTATAATATTGTATATTATATGGAAATAATGTAAGTATATGGAACAGTGATATGACTTACATAAGCAGAATCATATCACTTCTTCAAATGATAATCTCAATTACTGCAGTAATTATAAAATAAAGGAAATGGCCTTTGCTGAAGAGAAAGTAGTAAATGTTTAAACTATAGAACTCTCCAAAGAATAGTCCGATTTCGATGATTTGGTTTTTCGCAAATAAAATTCTGAATTCATTGTAACATTTTTTGTAGCTTGTTTTCGGAAAATTATCTCAAATTCTTATAAACTAAAAGGATTTCAAGGAAAATACTTTAGCCAAGTTTCATTAAAATCGTTACAGCTGTTTTGGCGATACAGTTTATAGCAACATGTTTTTCAGCCGCCATTTCGAAACAAAAGACCGGATGCTAATAAAATGTTCAAAAAACACTCCTGAATTTGAACGGTGTGTCAAAATTTTAAAGCAATCTGTAAAGAACTTTAGGAGAATAGCGGCTTTGAATAAAAAAAACACATACATTTTTATTTTTTTTACACATATAAAATTATGGTCGGACAGAAATACAATGCCAGAAACCTTCCTTTGAGTGTACGGAACCACTTCCTAAAATTTCTTGGAGATTGGATGAATGGTTTAGTAATGCCTAAAGGACAAACAGACAGACAGACAAATATACATTTATTTATATATATATATTTATAGAACCTTGCTGTCTTTTTTACAGAGGTTTCAAAGTATATGAAATATTTTAATCATTGATTGTAACATCAATATAATGAGCATGAGTACAATAATAATTCACCGATAAAATGAAGATTATTCTGATGAATGGTTGTGTGATGAACAGATCCAAAATAAGTTTAACAATAACACTCTCCTTGAAAGAAACAAATGTCTACTAAATAAGTGGTAATTGAAAGAGAAGAATTTTTAAAAAATATTGATTTTCCTTTCTTAAAATAATTTGTTGATTGCCAAAAAGTTTTATTTTTAAAAAAGAACATACAGATATAAATGCTTGCAATTCCCAAACATACTTAACTTATTCAGAAAAACTAAAAAAAAAGAGATATATGTCAATTTTTGGGGGGGTTAGAATCTTTAAAAAGTTTTCTATAAGGTAGATGTTTGTGTAATCTGTTCTTCCTTGAGGATGAATGTCCACTTGAAAAATATCATTAGCAGAGTTCTTAAGGTAACATAAATTAGAATATTTTTAGCAATAGTTATAAGATTAAAAATAGTTACAAGGTAAAATGGATTTGAGATTAAATACATAAAATGTAACTGAAATATCAAAAGGTAATAATAGCGTTTGAATTTCTACAAAAATTTCATTCAGTAGATAATAACTAAGAAACTTGAAAGATCTAAACTTAGGCAAACCTCACAGTCTAGTGGCTGGACACTCCCTGTGAAATTAGCATTAATTATCATCTGAGTAATCAATACAAGATCAATAAGCTTACTTCAATATTCATGATATTGAAGTGTAATTAAATTTTTGCTAATAATTAAAAATGTAAACACTATATAGTATACATCCCACAAGTCTTTGTATCAATTAGTTAAAAATACTTCATATTTAATATTATTCAATGATCTTCACTTCATCATAAGGAGTTACATTTCACATTTATAATAGATAAGTCTCACAAAATCGAATACATAGCTTTAAACTTAAATTCTTATTGTCTTACAATAATTAATTTTTGTTGATTTAGAGATGGAGAGATAGTTGACTGTTAATTGAAAGGATGAAGAAGAGTCAGGAAATGCTGTCATAAAAGGTGTTTATTAGGTTTTCTGATGGTGACCCGCTTGCTAGGGCCGAAACATCAGAAAACTTAATAAACACCATTAATGACTGCATTTCCTGACTATTTTTCATGATTTTAAAATAAAAATTGGAAGTATTTGTATCATTATCCTTCAATATAATTATACTAGTGGTTTTTATTATATAATTATAATTATACAAGTGAAGAGCCAAAAAGATGTAAGTGGAACTGCATTCAAGTGAAATTAAGTTCTAGTTTTGCTGTGGTTTTAATTTAGTTTGGTTTTTATAATGAATATAAATTATGTCTATGTTGTTTTAAAATTTTAAGTAAATTGCTTACTATGACTATTAATTCTTTTCTTTTTTTTAAATCTCTTGTGTAAAACCAATTTATTTTTTAATTCAGCGAAGGAATCGTATGAGTTATCAAAATGAATCATAAATTAAAGAAAAAAAATGATTATTTATTTCTTGAATTTCCTAACTGTATTAATCTAGCTTATTTAATTTAAATTTAATAGATTACAATTGCCAGAGAGGCATTTATTTTGAAGTACACTTCAATTTTACATTATTTATTATTAGCCAATATTTTGACCGCATTGTGGATCTTCATGTGAATTAAATCAATAAATTATACATTTTAGGTCATTAAATCATTTATTTCAGATAATACATACTCTACTAAACTTTTACACAGAGTTCAAACTATTATTTTCTTTTTTGTCTTACCTCTGATATCACTTGCAAAACATTTGTAAATATATACATACATTACTTGATGACACTGATATTTTGCATTGTATACATATATTTGTATTATTTTTTTAAATTAACATAAATTCGACCTCGGAATATCAACTAACTGTTGTCGAAATAATGTGTGTTTCTTGCACAATGACATTCCCTTCCCTCTCTATCAAACATTATTTTATTGATGAAAGTTCACTGTCAACTATTTTATATATAAATATCTGATTTTTAAAAAACTAATTATAAATTATTTTACAAACATCCTCTTGTCTGTTTATTTTCACAGAAAAAGGTTATTGTATGCGAGGAGACTTGTGCCCATATGATCATGGATCTGATCCAGTTATTCTTGAGGATGTAGATCCTCTCTACAATGGCTCAGGAGCCCCTACACCATTAATGATTCAATCTGCACCACCACCACCACAACTAGCGCCACCACCTCCTTCTATTACACAAGTTACCACTAATAACATGGGTAATAAACTTTATCTATTTATTATTTAAAATTGTACATAATATTGTATGATTTATTAATTGTTGTTTTAATTTTTTTTCACTGCAGCAGAATATAATCCAGATGCTCCAAGTATGGAATCAAGAATGTGGACAAGACCTCAATTTAGAGCAGGTCCAAGTCAGTTAATTTGATGTACATCTTAACAATTCTCTTTCTGCTCTTCAATGTTTATGGTTGAAGAACACATGATTTTCTATTTATTTTTGTATACATATTTATTACTTTCCCTTCTGTTGTAATCAATCCACATCAACCTTATTTATTTTCTTTATTTGTTTACATGGATTCATTTTTTTTTTTTTTTTTTTTTTTGAAGAGTTTTCAGCTGATCACCTATTATGCAGCATTATATTATTACCAGCATGATATTTATTTTTCTTGAAAAAAATAATAAGTGTCAGTTATCTTTGTTTAGTCTTGAATTGAAAGTTCGTCCATTCATCACATTTCAGTTAGAACTTGATGTTGGTTAGTTTTCATATTATCTGTTTTAAAATTGTGAATCTTCTGTTGTGCAAAAGGACTATTAAAACCTCTTTAGAAACTTTTGGTCTACTGCAATGGGGCTCAAGCTTCTTAGGTTTGGGCTAATATGCATACACTTTTTTATAAGTCAAAATTTTTTACTTTTATCTTTTTGTGTACAAAAAAATTATTTATTATTAAGATTCTTTGGGGCTCAGAGTGGAAAAGTGCTTTGAAATGAAACAATAATTATGTTCCTCTTCGTGGAGTTTCAGAGACCGAAAGCCAGGCAAAAGGACTGTTGTGCCGCAAATGTCTGAATGACAGGCTCCTTGTCACCCGCCGCCACAACAATATAATGAAATGAAATGAAAAATAGTTTCATTCTGGGACTGAAGTCCTCTTAGAATAATACCAAAGTTCAAAAAATATGTACATCAGTTTGGCATATAGATATAGTACAAATATATACAAAAAATACTATGGAAAATACAAATATATATAGGCAATACTGAGAGAGAGAAAAGAAGTGAGTAAATAAAAATAAAATGGCTCCTATCAATTAACTAGTGGTGATCAACATAATTATATAACCCAAAAATTCTTTCAAGCTTGCAGAAGTTTTAGTTTGTAGTAGGTGGTGGAATAGGAGTTGTTTATAGAAATTTATGGACATGATTTGACATATGGAGATGGTTAGGGAGTTGCAGAAGGAGGTAACACGAATGACGAAGGATTGGCTGAAGGATGTGGTTTTATGGGAGGGGATGTATAAATCTATAGGTTTAGATCTGGTGTTAAGAGAGTGGATAGAGGAGCTTAAAAAAACACCTAGAAGAAATTGCTGTCGGGAAGTAGGATAAAGCCACTTCAACTCGGTGTACCAACAGGAAACAGGAAAGTGTCTGGGAATTCCCCCTTCAATTCATAAGTTTCTTCAGTCCTGTGGACAGCCCTCCATACACCAAGCAACCGTTGTCGAAGTGGAGGAAAACAAGGGATGTTACAAATAGTTGTTTTTTTTTTTTTGGAATGGCATCACGGAATCATAGGAATTGTTTAAGAATAGTTAGGGGTTTATGGGTAATCTGGGAAATATAGTTGTTCCTAGAGAGGTTCTGATCAAAGATCACTCCGAGGTTTTTGACTGTCGGATAGAAATGAAGGGAACTAATGAGGTGCCTGGAGCAGATGAGGATAGCCTTAGTTTTATCTGCGTTCAGCTTCAGTTCATTTTTTCTGCCCATCTGTGGATACATTCAATATCTTATTCTAGTTTTCGGATAGCCTCAGGTATCTCAGATGTTTGGAACGATAAGTAAATTTGTAGATCGTCTGCATAAAAGTGATAGTGGGAGTTAGGAAGGTCGCTAATGGAGAAAAGAGTTTCAGAGAGTGAAGAGCTCTGAGGAACACCTCGTGATGATTGAAGGGGACGAGGAAGGAGATTTGTAGGAATAACAACTGTCTGGGAGCGACGGGATAAAAAGGACAGGAAGCATTTCATAATGCTATTTGATATGGGCAGGCTTTTGAATTTGGAAATGATTATATTATGATTGACAGAATCAATGGCTTTTGAGAAGTCGAAAAAGACTAGGATAGAAAGTTTCAGTTTGTCTGTGGGTGATTAGAGGTCTTGGTTAATCTTTAACTAGGCAGATTAAGTTGAGTATCGGGAACGAAAACTGGATTGTAGGGAATTGAGGAGACGGTTTTGCTGAAGAAAGTTATTCAACTGAAATTGAACTGATCTTTCTATAGGTTTGAATAAAATGGAAATGAGTCTGAAGTTGAAAGCTATTGAAAGATCAGGAACTTTGTTCAATGACTTTTCTCCAGGCTTTAGGAAAAATTGAATTTCGGAGGAAAAAAATTGTAGATGTGTAGAAGTATAGGAAGTAAGACTGGAAGGCAGAGTTAAATGATTTTCACAGCTTTTGGTCAGGACCATAGTCGTTGGTTTGTTAGAATAGCTGTTTGTTGGTTGGTCGTTAGAATAGTAGAGAGTAGGTCAGTTGGTGTGGGGCGGGGTGGCCAAGTGGGCTAACACCTGTGGACTGCACCGCATGTTGCTGGACAACCTGATAACCGAAGTTGGAGACTGTAAAATTATTATGAGTTCGCGTCCAGGCACCCGGGGGGAGTGTCTTTTAACTCGGCATTAATCCCCCGCCCTCACCCTCTGGCCTGGGAAAAATCCCCGTATAGCCTAAAAGGTAAGGTAGGGAAGTAAAAACAAATATTTATAAAAAGTATCTCCGGCGGAGAAATATCAAGAAAGTAAAACTTATCTGAGCCAAATGATGTTTTAGTGATGGATAAAGGTCAGTGTGATTACAGAAAGAAGATGGTTTGCGAAAAAGGAATTTAGTTCATTCAGATCTACTGGTTAAAGTGTATGAATTTTGAAGGTTATGACCGAGAGGTTTCTGAGGATTGTCCATTTGGATTTAGAATTAGGTGTTTGGGATAATACATTGTTAAAATATTGGGCTTTGGCACGGCGTAAGGATATTTCTGTGCTGTTTCATAGGGATTTGAAGATAGTATAGTGTTGGGGCAGTGTTGTACATCTCTAAATATAATTATAAAGCATCAAATTGCCAAATTCTTGGAGATGAAAAAGTGTAGATACTTTCTTCAGTACTTTAGATGATAGTCCTGCAGAGTTTTATCCTTTTTGTTCTTTCTTACTAAGTACTGTCATTAAGACTGATCAGTATGCTGGATGTTTCAGCAGTTCAATATTGTTAAGCAGCTGTACTGTTTTATTGTATTTATCTCTCTTATTTTTGTTTTGTTTGTTATTTTAAATGTAACAAATAGTTTCTTCATGAAAAATTAATTTTAATAAAGGACATAACTTTATTAGTATCAAAACTGTGCTTAGTAGCATTATTGACAATATAAAATATATACATTAAAAATAATAGTAATAACCAAAACAGTACAGTTTCCTTGTCATTCCTGTCGAATATATAATGAAAAATAAAAGTTAACAACCCATGTGTTGGAGAAAACAAATTTAATTATTTGATGTTTCGGAATTTCTCTGTTTAAGATTTTTAGTATTACAATACTTTAAAATAAACTACCTGGTGTTCACCTTCGTCGTTTATAATCATATAATGGAAACTCCCTAGGTAAAATTATGGTAGAAAATTGTTGTATCCAAAAAAATATAAATAAATAGATTATTCTAGAATTCTATTCTTAAAAATCTAAACAGTTATAAAATTAAAATATATTAATATATATATATATATATCTTTAAATTATGTAGGTTAGGACTTCATTTCATTAGTATAATTAAATAATTAAAATACTCAATTTGATCACATAAGTCCTACTTTATTTATTTCTCTATACCAACGTATTAGCCCTTAAGCCATTTTCAAGTAAAGTAACTTAATTTTATAGAAAATTAAAATCATATGGGCTGAATTGTTCTTGTCAACATAACTTAATAGTCACTCACTGATAATTTATATTAATTTTAAGTGTTAAAGGGAATTTGTTGATATTGATATTGAATCGTTTAAACTCTATTCTGCTACTTTCCTCCTACTTAGGTAAAATTTTACAATTCATTTTGGAAATATAAGCATGTCAAGCAATTTACTTTTGCTCATGTATGAGAAAAATTAATGGATAAAAATTGATACGAAATCATTTATGTTTCACCATACTCATGCAATCCTTAAAAATCTTATCAGTCGGAATAAAGATAGCTTAGGCGCTGGCTTTCCATTCAGGTTGGGACGATGAACCCTCCAAAAAAAGTTTCGGGGACTTATATTGTGTATATAAATTATGAATGATAATTAATACTATCGACAAAATTATTGTAAAACGAACATTATAATACTATATATAAAAATAAATTTATAAATATGTGTATACACTAGTGTTTTTTCTTGTTTTGAGTATGAGTGTACTACGTATAAATGAAAATATGTTAACAGAGCAATTGAATATATTACATATTCTCATTTTTATTGAAATGTTTGAGGCAGTGAGATGAACTCTCAATGCTCTGATACTTAAAATTTCCTGGCTTATGTGATAAATCTTCACAAAAAAATTGGAAGGGTGGGCATGAATGAATCATAAAATCCTAGGATATGTTGCTACATGTAATTAGCTATGAATATTAACTAAAATTTCAATAACAGGAACCTAGGACGTGGTGAAATTCCTGTGTATCTACTTCAAGACCATCTACTTAGCTTAGCCATCTAGTTGACTTTCTTAATTGATTTTAGTTTACATATTTTATTCATTCATGTAGATTAAGTGTTATTGATTTTGATTTTATTTTCATTCTTTGAAATATTGAGAAGCGAAACAATATTCTCGCCACTTTAAATAAATTAAATACAACAGTTGTCCATTGATGAGTTAGAGTCTCCTCTAAAACCTTGCATCTTTCCATTGTATTTGAAGGAATGGAATTGAAGTTTCTTGTACCTCTTTGGTTTCCATCTACCTTTCTTACTTATTTTTGTTTTGTGCAAAATCTGTACAGCTAATTTTTCATCTTTGTCTATTTTGTTACGCATTTTTTCTCACTAAACCTAACAACTTTGGTTGATTTAACTATGTTACACATTTAAAAGCATATTAGTTTTATTAGTTTATTAGCATAGTCTATTTTCTTTTCTAGTCTTCAAAGCATTTATTTTATTTTATTGAAGAGAAGGAGTAAATAGAAATGGCAAAAAATAAATAATTTTATTTTTTACCATTACAATTTGACTGATCACCCCAATCATCCTTCTCTTTATTATTCACTACAGTCAACCATAAACCCACAATTACATTTTATTTTATTTTTTTCTTTCAAAAGTTTTGTTATAAAATCGTTTTTTGAAACTTCAGCCCAAATTATCTCTCAAGACCAGATTTAACAATTAAAATCCCTTAATTTATATGAAATATAGTAATGTTCATGCTTATATAATAATTTTCTTTTCCATATTATCTAAGTATTTTTTACCCTAAAATTAATTATCTTATTTAAGAAAAAAATAGTGGCTTAACTTTTAATAGAACAACAATATTAAATTAATTAATTCTATAGCTAGTGAGTTGGCCTTAATACATAGCACATTTCAACCATACCCCTCATATTACGATCCGAAATATGAACAGAGAATCAACAATAGCAACAATCATGATTAATCAAAACATCATTTTTGTAAGAAAAAGATGTATAAATAAAACTGCAGACATAAAAATAAAGAAAACTATTTAAACAACAAAAAAAAACATTAAATGGAAAAACATAATATTTAAAATAATTATTTTTTCATTGTTAGACTATTTAATATTTCATAACTTTACATATTAAAAAAAAATAAACAAACTAGTAATTAATAGTTTATCTAATGGTGGAATACTTGATCTTCCATTTTCTGTGTTTGAAAAGTTAAACTCGAAGTTATTATGGTGATGACTTTAGCTAGAGATGTGGAGATAACAGTATTTTTTAAATTTATATATATGCTTCATTTTTTTTTTTCATATTTTCACTACTACAAGTTTACAATTGTTATGCTGTATCCTTGTACAATACAATTTTATAGATAATGGGATATTGAGGAGATAGTGCCTATATAGCTGGACTCTTGAGTACTACTGTACTTTTTTATTAATTTATTGGAATGTCCTTTGGTCATTTTTCTTTGGATTTTGAGAAGATACTGATGTGCTTCTTGGACTAAAAAAGGATGAATTCTCTTCTCGATTTCTTCACCAAATCTTTTCTTTTTTGTGATGTCTATATTAGCCACATGTGACCTAAAGAATTCTGAATTTTCTCTTTTTTTTTACCTCATCTGATACTGTTATTTATTGACCAGTCCGAAATTGTTACACCAGTCTCTTCACATACAGATTTTGTTTTTCTAAATTAACTTTGTTTTCATGTTTTGGAATCCTAAACAGAATACAGTTGTTGTTGGGGATATTTCTTTTTAAATAAATATTTTACCTCATTTTCTAATGTTGATTTCTTATCTCCAGCTCTGTATATTTTTTCTCAAGCTGAGATAGAGTATTATGTTGATGAGATATAGTATTTTTTAGTTCTAGTGTTTGAGCAGTGGATTTATTTATATCTACAGCTAGTTTTTCAGTATTTTTGGTTTGTTGAGTGGATAGATCTACTCTACTATTAGTTTCTTCAGTTCCTCCATATTGTATTAATTTGCTTTACAAAAGAAAAAGAAAAGAAAAATGAATCAATACGAAGTCCATATCACCAACCGGACTTCAATAAATATTATTATTATTGCTGAGAATAATACGATGTATGAGAAGCAGTTATTATCGTTTCTCTGATTATAAACAGCTGACTCAAGAGGAAGAGCACTTGAAAGATCTTGCACAAACCACTGTCGTGCAGAAAGAGCTTTTTTATATTGATATTTTTGACCATTTATACTTGATTCCTTTAACTAAAAATTCACACCCATACACTTATACGGTTAATAGTCAACGATACAAATATTGATTTCGATAGAATGGAATTAAACTTATTAAATATAAAACTAGCATAGAGATGAAGTGCCTGACTATTTAAGGTCAACTCCAAAAAACTATAAGTTGTAAATGATACTTTTGAAACTAGTTACAGAATAAACAAAATTTAGTTTTTTATATTTATTTATACCTCTTTTTATAGACTTAAAAATTCTTCAAAAATTAAAAGATGATTATTATGTTAACATGTGTACATTACAGTTAGCATTGACGAATATATACATGATATGAGCCAAGATTTCTTTTTTGTACTTTAAGAATAATGTTCTTTAAAATTACATATAAATAATTCATTAATAAATAAATAGCTTTTTTAAAATTAACTAGTAACTTTTTAAAACAAAATTTGGCTGTAACATTCAACTTCGTGTAATTAATACTTAAAGTTATTAATGCTTTTATATTTTATTTTATTATGGTATGAGTCAATATAAACATTTATTATCACATCTTTAAGTAATAACTTCATAAGGAAAATCTAGAATTATAGTGTCTTAAGTGACACTTGTTTATCAATTTAAAATTAATTTTTGTTTTAGACATTAAATGAAATATAAACTACTACTCTCAAAGACAAGACCTACAAAAGTACTCCCTTTCGTTTATTATTGACGAAATGAAGTAATCATATTCTAAAAAGCTTAATAAATTAATAAAAATTATAACATTTATGTATGTTTTTTCTTTTGTGTGTTTCCTCTAAAGAAAATTTGCCTGTTAATAAGATAATATTTTGACCAATGTTGGGAATGTATATATTTAACTTCTTGACCAATTTATTTTTTAATTTTAAGTTATTTAAAATAGTAAAATCCATAAATGGAATTATGGGCTGGTTTAGGAAATTTCGACTAATTCAGTTTTTTGTATTTTTCATTCAAGAATACTTATAAATATATATATTTTTTTCCATCCTATGTTAATTTTTTGTAACAAAATTTTATCTTTTCAGTCGTCAGAGGAAGTGGGATGGTAAGGAGTAGTATGGGCCGAGGTTTCCCTCATCAAAGAGAGCTTATAAATGTCGTAACTGGGTCACCACATTTTAGACATGTTCGACCAAGCTCAAACCAAGACTTTAACAATATTAACCATTCAGCAGTTAGTAAACCGACTTTTTAAAACTTTTTTTCTTTTATTTAAATTTAGTAATATATATTATTTCAATCATTCTTTATTATCTTTCAGGTTCGAACAATAACAGCAGATAATCAAAATTTTGATTTTGCAAGACTGGGGCCGAACCGAACATCAACCCGCCCTCCATTTCCTCAGCACGGAGGGAACACATCATTACAGTTAAAGAAAGTACCTCTTGGTGTTAACACCATCACTCTTTTGAACAATCATTTTTCAAAATTTGGAAAAATTGTTAATATTCAGGTTAGTCGAATCATGATCACATTCTTCCCAGGGAATAAAAATACATATAATGCTCATAACAAGAATGCAACTCAGCCCTAAAGAATTTTTTTGTTTATAGTTTTTCAATTTATTAATCAATTTTTGTTACTTATTGTTGAATAATTACAATCGAGAAAAATGAAAATTAATTTTACTATTCATATAATTAAAAGAGTTTTTTCTTCTCGAATTTTAATTATTTTTATGATAATAAGTAAATTTCAAAATTTTTAGAACCTCAGGTACCTTATGGTTTATAAAAACACGGATTCCAACTTTTGATCTAAAGATAATCACCATTAAAATAATTTATTTCTGTTGTAGGTCGGTTTTGAAGGAGATCCAGAATCTGCTTTAATCACCTTCTCATCTCACACGGAAGCCAATATAGCCTATAAGAGTACTGAGGCGGTATTGAATAATAGATTCATTAGAGTTTTTTGGTACAATCCAAGCAACAATAATGAGGTAACAGTATCATTTTTACTGCCTTAACACTAGTATTTCTATATATCTCCTAGAAGTATTTTGAAATTTTATACATATTATTAAATAATTAATAAGCAGGTCATCGACATGTTTAAAATCTATAGAAATTAATTATTATCTGTAGTTATATTTGGCGACTATAATTTCACTTTTTGCTAGAAGTATTGAATATGTATTGGCAACTCATAAACCTAGCAATCAGTAAAAGTTGACAGCTACTATTTTATTGATTGTAGCTGCATATCAATGTTTTAGTATTACTACATCAAATTTGTGTCATAACTTTATCAATTGTTGGTAATGTTTTGGAATTATTTAAATTTAATATGAAATAAACAAATTAAGTCATTTGAATTTCCTAGGGTTTCTTTTAATCAATCTCTTTTTATTCACTTTTATTTATCAAAGCCCATCCTTCAATTACAGTTATCATCAACAGATGAACTTACATAATAATGAGATGGGAAAGAATAATTAAATTAAATAAATAAATATTGATATCTTTGATAAGATGATTGTGAAGGTTGATCTCTCATGTAGACACTTTTTAGCCGTATTCTGGTATCCTTTGCCATAAGAGTTGTGTCCATTTCTTTTATTAGAAGGTTTGGAGTCTTCGTTTAAGTTAACATAAAAATGTTTATTTTAAATGTAACAACCTGCACTACTTTTAAGACAATCGGAGCCAAACTACTGACTACATCGTCACAGAGGACAATTTCTCTCAGCTAAAAGTAAGGATAAATACCCGTACTATGAAGCTTCCGTGTATGAGCGGAAGGAATTGGTGGGGAATTGATTATTTCAACTTTCCCTAATGAAGAAGAGCGAAGAATCAAGGAATAAGTTATAGAAGTATCGTGTTACTTCTACCAAAAATCTGTGTTGCTGAGAGGCAAGGAAAGATGAAAATAAATAAATGTTATTAAATGTAAATTAAATCAGTTTAATTAAATTTTTTGGCAAACTGAACATCAGTTTCACATTGAATTTGTCATATTCACACCAGATTGTGATTTTTTTAAACTAATAAAATATCCTTATGAAGAGAGTTTAGTTTGCCAAAAAATTAAATGAAATCAAATCAGTTTTTAATTGTCGGATCTTCACTCCACTGAAAAAGATCAAAGTTATCAAATATCTTACTAAAGAATAGATGAAGTACACTTGCATTTAATAGCAGCTTAAATGATCAATTAGAAGGAAATGGTGAAAAAAGAATCCTATAAAAATGGAGGGGATAACGCAAGTTTTCATAAATGATGTCTGAACTTCAGATAATTGACAGGTTTTTATAATATGTCAAATAACAGCCTGAAAGGCTTGTTAATGAATAAGTACAAATTTTCGTATGTTGCAGGTCAGGACTAGGAATTTGGCTATTGAATAAGTTTTTTTGTTAAATTTACTTGTGAAAATTATTACACAATTTAACTATAATAACCTATTATGTATCTTGCAGATTTAAAATATTTTAAGTAATACTTTAATTACTTAATGTGCTTAAATATTTCTTTCTCAACAAATAATCTAAGGTGCCATTACAGACATGGGGTCAGCAATTTCAATGAAACTATTTTTTGGTTATGCTAAGTAAAAAAATATTAGGCCTATGTCCAATACGGACTAGAAGAAAAAAATATTTTATCGTTTGTTTCTATTATTATTTTTTGCCTTTGCTCTGCATCAATTTTGCGGTTATAGTAAAAAAAGTGTGTTTGTTTTTCTCTGTATAACAAGAAAAACATATTGTTGATTTTATTCAATGAATTTAAATGTTAATAATTTATTAAAACCACAAGATGCTTCCAGTTAAGGAGTCCAGCCAAAAAGCAATTTCAGATTCAATTCTAGCCTCTATCACTCTTAAATCCTAATTTGTTTTTAAATTAAAAATATACTTGATTTTATTGAACTTTTTGTTTCAATATCTATATTTTCTAATTAAGCATTACTACAACCATTTGGAAACTATCTTATTGCTCTTCAAAACTTTGTCAATAACATTTAAATTTTATTTCTTTATGAGGAATAAATAATGAAAAACTCAAAACCTTTTTAATTTATTTCTCCAGTTCAATTTGGTTATTGAGGTCTGGTATGTGCCATTTCTTGTATTTAATATGGCTTTAAATTTCATTTATTTTTATTTATTAAACTGAATTGGGACAATATACTAGATTTTGTTCTTGTAATCTATCCATAAAATTAGAGAAAACAGTTGTATTTGGCATATAGATATTGTATGAGTACAAATATTTTTTTAAGGAGTTGTTGTTTGTACTTTGCACCTTGAAAACCCTTTAAGTATGAATTTTCAAAGCAATTGAAAACTACAAAAGTTTTTTTCAAAATTTTCCCTTAGGCTGCAGCTGTCAATTTTTTTCTCGAAAATTACAAAAATTGTCATAACTTCATGATTTATGTTCCTAATTCTCCAATAAAATGAAGTCCAAAAAATATATTTATTTGTTTGTTTCAAAACCAATTTGTATTTGAGCGTTTTAAAGGAAGCTAGAAACAAATCTGAATTGCTTTTTCATTACAAAAATTGACTTGGCCTACTTTACTGGAAGCCTCTTTTGCTTTTTGTAATTTATTATATATTTAAATTCATTTAATACCATAAGGAATATGTTTTTATAATTTTACAGAAGAAAACCAAATCGATTGATATATTATCATTTATAAATCCATGCCGAAAATAAAAATATTTAAAAAAAATTATTTTCAAAAAAACTTTTTTGGCTCCTAGCGCACATCGCTAAGAAACGAATCTGAATTGCATTTTCATTACAAAAATTGACTTGGCCTAATTTAATGAAAGCCTCTTTTGGTTTTTGTAATTTATTATACATTTAATACAATAAGGAATATGTTTTTTTAATTTTAAAGAAGAAAACCAGATTGATTGATATATTATCATTTATAAATCCTTACAGAAAATAAAAATTGAATAATTTTTGAAATTTTATTTTAAAAAAAATTTTTTTTTGGCTTCTTGTACACATCGGTGAGAACTCTCAGTCAATATTTTTCAACCTAGTAACACCTAAAAAGTTTACAGAAATCTGTCATTCTATGTCTGTAATCTTGCTTTGTTAGTTTAATCTAGTCAATTAGATTCTTTTAATATTCTTATTTTGTCTATAAGGGCAAAATTTAATCCATAGATTATCTTTATGATTGCATTATGTTAACACACTATATGCGGGCGATATTAGAACTTACAGATACATTGGAGCAATAACGTTGATTGAATTTTATTACTTGTTATTCTTAGTTAATTGATTTGAGCATGATAGTTGTGGTTTAAATATAATCAGATCGAATCCTGACTCCTACCTTCCAGTAAAGCTGATTCTGGAGGGAAATAAGACCAAAAACCCCTTTAGTCTATTATAGATAAATAATATCACTTATTTATATCATACTACTGAGGAAGGAGATGGTACGGGGTGGCGGTCATAAAAAAACTAAAATAGTGAACAAAACTATTTTAGTATTTTTATGATGGCCACCCAGGACCATCTCCTGCCTTAATAATATCCCTAGTCTTGTCATAAATATTGTTACAAGGAAATATATACAGATTCCTACAGAAAATTTTTTTTTTTCAACAACTTTATTAGAAAATAAAATGTATATCAATAGAGAGTAAAACAAAAAAATAAATTAGTCAAAATGTCCCCCTTTTGCCTTGACACAGGCATCAGTAGCAGCACGCAGTACTTCTTAAGTAAAGCGATCAACTGTTCAGACCTGAGATTGTTTGAGGCTTTCCAAGTTATGGTGTACTCTGTGGCATGCCATCCTCTCCAGTTCAGACTAAAGCCGATTATTTAGTAGTTGAGATCAGGACCGATTATAAAGTGGTTGAGGGCCAATCCGAGGCAGAGATGAACTCTGGAATGTTCTTTTGCAGTCACTGCTGAGTTGACCTGGCCTTGTGAGCTGGAGCAGAATCCTGCTGGAAAATCCAGTGACTGCCAGCAAACAGAGTATCATAGAGAGACAACAGGTTCCGAAATATCATCCTGATAGTTATTAGCGGCTATTTTAACTCCTTTTTCCCACAAATGGAGCTTTATAGTGCTATCAAAGCAAATACCCCACCAAACCATCACTGAGGAAGGGTGATGATCTCTTTCCACTCTTCCAATGACTTCCTGGGATTCTTTAGAGTTGTTTGCATACATACAATGATTTTGACGATAAAATTTCTCTTCAAGTATAAAAATTTCTCATCGCTAATCAAAATCTTTCGATGAAGACCATTGGTGTAATGACCAAGGAGCACCAAGGAAGTGGTTAGCCCTTGTCCTGTCATTCTTCGAAATGCACCCATCCTAAGGTCACTTTTTATCATGCGAGACATTGATCTGACAGAAATTCCCATTTCCCGAGACATGATTTCTTGTTTTCGAATGGGATTTCTTCTGATTTGAGCAGCCACTACTCTCACTACATTTGCTGTTCCCACAGTGCGGGGATAGCCCAGTCAAAGTCTGTCACATACAGATAGGATCTCATTATATCTATTTATGCGATACACGAACATACTTCTGATAGCCCAAAGTGTTTAAAATCACTGACCTACATTTTCCAACTTTATGTAAGGCGATCACAGCTATTCGGTTTTCCTTATCACCCCACTCCATGTTAACTGAGCGAAAGAAAAATACAAATTAATTGGGATTATTATCCTGACATGTAAAGAAAATAACCTGATAGAGGTAAGGATTATCTAAATAATATCTAAGAATGTAAACAAAGTTCAACTTTTGTAACAGTATTTATGGCTGAACTAGGTACAACTGTCAACCATCAAGTATTCAATATATCATACTTCATAACTGCTACATACTATATTAATTTTTTTTTTTTTTTTTTTATGATATTTACAACTGTACACACCTTCTATTCAGAAATTTGAAATTTGAAAAAACTATTATATTTTTTATAGTTCTTTTCAAGGCGAAACATGGCCATTTACATTAAGCGATGTGCAACGCCTTAGCGTTTTTGAAAAGTACTGGGAAAAATATTTGGATAGAATAATGATGAGCTAACCGCAGAATTTAGATCGCTTCACAATGCCGAATTGCATGGATTTTACCTGATGTATTTAATTGAGATGATAGATTTAAGGCTATTCATCCAATCAACCAACCCCTAAAAGATTAATTTGTACTGGGCAATTGGTAAGCTTTCGTGGGATATACCAAAATAAAAGATGGGATAGGATCATGTAGGCTGCTATTAGTGGTATTGGCATTGAAATTTTGGTTTTGCTAAATCTTTATTATTATTGCCTCGATTCATCTACCTTTCTCTATTTAGACATGGGGGTAATAGGCTATTAGTAGATTTGGGATCGAGTGAGGAAGAGGGGAGGAAGCCTAATAAAGTCTCGTCCCAGGCACTAAAAACTCACGCGACGGCCTTTTCATTATTTACATTCCAAGTGATAAGGATAGTTTGATTTGTTTGCGCTATAGCAAGGACTAAAAAATTAATTATAGCTGTTTTAATATTGTTTTCGTTCCAATTATCAAATTTATCCAGGTATTTTTCTTATATTTAAAATAAAATTTGTTAAGTTAAATTCCATAATTTGAATTTACATGTGCAATTAAGAAAATGTAGAGATTTCCAATATGGATTGATTTGTTACATCTGGGTAAAAATGTTGCTAATTAGGAGTTTTATAATAAACTCTTGAAAAATTAGAGAATCGTTTGGAATTTTCTATTGCCAAAATTGGTGACACTTAAAAGTATATGAGAAAGTAGGTATAAGTATATGAGAAGATATTTACATTCTTTGGAAAATTTTAATTTTATTTATGCAATATATCTTCTCTGCAGTTAAGTACTTGTGAAACCAAAAAAGTAAATGTTTCTTAGCCTGCATACAGTGTGTTAATAAACTACCTAGTGAGAGTTAAAGCAAAAAAATGATTCATTGAATAGAATCTTTCAATTGATTTAAAACCAATGTAGAAAATAACTGTATGTGTCCAGAACAAGCCGAAAAATGCAACTACTCCGCCGGCTATCAAACCTTCCGTACTAGAGCGTCTTGGGGCGCCACCTCCAAAAGTCCTCCATAACATTCAACCATCCGCAGTTCAGCATGAGGAGAAGGTATTTTATCGTCATGTATTGCTGCTGATTCCTCTTTATTTACTTACCTTCTCCTGCATGTAGATATATTGTCTTTAACAAAGGGCTATGGAGGCTTAAGGTGTCTTATTGTTTACTCGGTATTGTTTTCTGTTTTTCTATTATTCTATCTAAAAACACTCAAATTTGTGGTGGTATGAAATTTTAGTTTACTTTACAATAGATAATTATTTTAAGTATTATTACTATAAATTCTTCTATGTTATATTATGAAAATATAAATGTGCTCTTTGACTTGATATAATTTGACACAAACGATAAAATGTTTTTCTTTTCTTTTTTTAACTAATTGATTCACTCCTAAATTGTCTTATTGGTGGTATAATTGGCTCTAAGGAGAACAAACTAAAATAAACCAGTGTACCCCTGCAAGAACTCTCACATTAGTTTAGTAGTTATTCTTCTATTAACTATCTTAATACTTCCATTCATGGAGCATTTGACATATAAGTGACATAAGCGAAACATATTTGTTCAAACGTAAAATATATTATTATTAAAATAATCTGTTTTTTACACACAATCTGTGAAACTCCATACTTTACCACAAATATTTAAGTAACAAGTTACTTACTTAATGATTAGCTTGTCCCATTGGAAAATATCCCTCCTGTTGAATTATTAGGCAATAATTATTATTGAGGTTCTATTGTACTCACTTAAGGCCTATTTATTTGGTCTGTAGTTTTCTCACTTTCTGAGAGTAATTCTATTACTGAGAGAAAAGAAGGCATAAACTGGATGTTTTTATTTATTAAAAATATCAAATCATTTCTATATCATCCAAAGTGCCCAAGGGATCATAGCTATTCCCGCCTAAATACCTTTTCATTTGATTTTCAGTTTGCCAAAGACTATCATAAATAGCAATATTTTGATTTTTGGGCTTTAAAAGGCAAATTCTTTGAAACTATATTAGGTTTTGATTCCTATATCAAAATCTTCAAAAAACAATTTATTCCATCTTAATTCATTGACTTAAACTATCTGAATTTTGAAGCCTCCCATTTTTTCCAATCACTTTTATCAAAGTTGTAGTCATTTAAGGATTGTGAAAATGAGATTCATCACTTCTCCATGAAATTTCTTTTGGTTTGATAGCTCATACATCATAATCCATCGCTCCTGAGGGGCAGAAAAGGGATCTATACTATCAACTATATTATATATAGCGTAGATATGGAAATGTTCAATCTAGACACTAGCAGTCATACCCTGCAGACCTCCATCAAAACCCAAGTCCACAAGATTTGACCTAACAGTTGCATCTTGGTCTATCTTCTAGAATTGTTCCCATTGGCCGTTTTCTAATTAGTTTTTTAGTAATTCATTAGTTGACGAGCTTTTTAATTTCTCATGTTCATTTCAGTCATGATACTTTCACAACAATTATACGTAACGTATGAAGTTCACATTGTTTCGCATTGTATAACAAGACTATTTCTCCAGCTTATATTTATCTGTTAGCTATGTTGCATTTATTAACTTTACATATCTTTAATATTATTTAATTGACTGATTTAACTTTATGAAATATCATAACTTGACGAACTCACAAATAGGCTACAAAATTATCTTAAAAATGTTTGTAATAGTTAATATTTGTACTTCTTTTTTTCAAGAATCCCTTTCGCAAGCTCTACCGTTCTGTAGAGCTCTGCAGCATCATTGTTTTTCATTCCAGCCTTCCAGATGGTCTCTTGCCTACGAATGAGGCATTCCTTATCCTGACAAATTGCTCCAAGTTTGTGTCTTAAGCTCTTTGCTTTCATATCATGAGATATTGATTGACAAGTTCCTCTAAGCAGTTCTTTGTTTGCCTTTCTCTGCCTGATGCCAGATCACACCGGTTGTCATGTGAAGTATTTTCCTTCCAATACTTCTAGATAGAGTGCTGTTTAGTGTTCAGGTCTTACAACCATTATTCAGAACTGTTTTTATTCTAACCCTCTTAATTTGAGAATTCTACAGAACTTTGGGGATTTCTATACTTTTGAGAGAGAGAACCTCTGTGTTCACTTGTTATATGCTGAGCTATTTCTGACTGTTGATCATTTATGTTGTTTATTATGGAACCAAGGTATTAAAATTTATCAACTTTCAGGAACAATTTCCCTTCTATACAGATCCTGTTTTTTGTAATTTTTGTAAGTCTCTCTATGGCCTCTTGGCTGCTTCCAAGGACAGCTATATTATCTGCATACTCTAGAATTTTATTATTCATCCTAATGTGTAGCTCCATTTCTATGTAAATAGCATGGAGCATATGTATGTAATAGCATATGTGCATAACAATTTCTATGTAAATCCATTCCTAAATAGCTCTCCATGTTCTTATCAAGTTATTTAGTGTTTAGTTGAACAGCATCGGCGAGAGTCCATCTCACTGTCACGAACCATTTCAGACATTGAAGGCTTTACTTCTCCTTGTACTCAACATTTAAAATCATTTTCAATCACTCACCTTCGTTGTTTCCCCAACTTCCTAGCCCTTAAATTGTAAAATATGCAATATCATATTACAAAAACCAAAAACGTGCAATTAAGCCTGAAAAGGCCAAAACGTGAAATTTCATGCAAAATTAAATTTCAATATATTTTTCTACAGATTGTGAAACGGATAGATTGTCTGGTTTGAAGTTTTAACACCTAAGCGAACAAAATGTGCAATAACATGAAAATCCGGTCTCTAGTCAACAGGAAAACTCTGCTTTCTTTAGTATAGGACAGATTAGGCCCTTGTTCGTAGCCCCTGGTAAATTGTTTCCCATATTTTCCAGATTAGTTGTAACCTTGACTTTTAGCTCTTTATCATCTTTAAACATTTCTGATGGTAGGTTATCCATCCCTGAGGCTTTTCTTGTTTTAAGATTTTCAATAGTTATTTCTACATCCAGTATATCTGATTTTTCAACTGCTTGTTGAGTATGGCCCATTTCCTCTTTTTTTTTTGTGGATTCCGCCTTATTGATAAACTGCTGGAAATGTATTCAGGTGCATATTATCTTTTCTTTCTGTCAGACTAACTTTTCATATTTTCCTTGCACTTATATATTTCTTGCTGTTGCCCTCATTGATTTGATTTTGCCTTATATATATTTAGTAATCATGTATGGTCCAAAGTTTAGAAAAACAAAAATAGCAATTATCCAGTTTGTGATAAACCATCTGGGGTCAGTAAGTTTCTCTTTCCAATAGATGGTGCATTTTTTCCTTAAACCTACCATGTTTCAACTTCTTTAAAAAATTACCACTATAAATCTGAGTGTTAAATGTTGAAAAAAACAGTGTATATTTGTTTGCAATGATGAATAGTTTTCTGACACTGCACACCTAGATTAAAATAGAAATAAGTTAATAATTAAATTTTAGTAATTAACTACTCATTAAAATTTCGGTGAGTATAGCAACAAAGCAGATTTTTTTTTTTTTTTTTTTTGCATAATTAAAACAAATCTATTTTGTTACTACATGCATTTCATTTTGAAATTTAATTTAATAATAAATTATCTTGAAAATAAAAAAAAAAGCATAAGTTGCTACTATGTTAAGATCTTGGTGTGCAATTCATTATAATAGTTGTTTTTTATTTTAAATTGAAGTTAAGTTTTTATTAAAATATATTGTTGTTCAGAAAACTTTTCAACAGTATTAAAGTTAATTAGATTTTTTTTTATATTTCTTTTTGAGTAAGGGATGGTGGCTTCTTGTACATTACCTTCTTTGTTATCTTTTCATTTGCATGTCTGATAATTATATAGAATATTTTATTTGTAATTTCAGAAAGAATTTTTATCTTTTGATAAAAATTATTCTTAATTAAATTTTTCCAATTTAAATTAAAACAGAAGAAATAAGATTTAATATATATGGAACACATGTGATATCATTTTGTAGAAAGATTTAACTGAAATATCAATTTGTGTGTAGATCAATTTTTGTATATATAATTACTAAAACATAAATTGATGTAATTTAGTTCTGTATAAACTGTTATTCAATCAAAATATACTACTTGAATTAAGTGTTTTTGGATGGTTTTTCTCAAAAAACAGAATTGAATTATAAAAAGTTACCAAACAGTTTTCAGGAACAGTCGATTTTATGTATTTTTAAAAATAAAACATAAGTATAAAGTTTTTGTTTGTTATTTGGTTTGATGAAACAATTGGGTGGCTTAATATCAAAGACGGACATCTTTTAATTTTAAAAACTTGAGAAAAGGCTAATTTTCTGTAATATAGCTTCAATTTCAATGATTTTTTTTTTTTCATGATTCAACTTAAACGTTCTTAAATAAAATCAGTTGTTTAAATTGAACTTATTTATTTATTTAATATTGGTGCTGTGCGAGCAATTTCCATGTTTGGATTCCCCATCCTTTCAGGATGTCCTCCATCTCATCTAACCATCTCAGGTGTGTTATTCCTCTGCCACTTCTTCCACCAGGTCGATCCACTAGCATGTGTTTTGGAATCGCATCTCTGCCATACATGTCACATGTCCCAACCATCTAATCTGGTTTCTCCTAATAATGGAGACCAAATCCTGCCTCGCATAAATCTCCCGCAGCTCTTTATTGGTGCGAATTCTCCATGGTCCATGTTCGCACACCGGGCTGTAGATTCTGCGGAGAACCCTTCTCTCCCAAGCAAGTAGCCTTTTTTCTGAAACTTTAGAGATCACCCAAGTCTCAGAACCATAGGTGAGGAAAGGTCTGATGACTTTCTCATACACTGTGATCTTTATTCTGTGAGAAATGGATCTATAATTCAGTATTTTCCACATGGCAAAACAGCATCTATTCTATGAACAACCTATTAAAGAAAAATTGATTTTTTTCTTCGCTTTCTGGAAATGATAGATGTCCTTCTTTGATATGAAGCCATTCAATCTTATTCTAAAATAAAGGTACAAAGAGTTCCAAAGGGGATTTTGGGCCATAATTGATTAAGAACTACTTTAAAATTTCTTTGATTTAATAGACTGTGTGTTAAAGAGGTGAATTTATCAAGTACTTTTGAAATGTTTATAAATTAAAATAAAGGTTTTATTATCAATAATAAGTTATTGGAAACTGAATGATTTTTTTTTTTTTTTTTTTTTTTTTTTGTATCATGTGATGTATTTATTTATTGTACAAATGTTATACATTTGTTTACATTTTTGAATTTAATTTAATTTTTATCAAGTTCACACTATTTATCAAAGTAATTTTTAAAACTTTTTTAATGCGTTATTATTTTAAATGCTGCAGGTTACAGTGGTGAATAACAACATAACGAAGACTTTGTATATACCATCTGCAATGAAAAAGGATTCTGCTAATCCTCCTGTTGTTAACAATGTTAACAAAGAGGTATGTATTTAATTTTGAAATAAAAAAAATATTGATTTTAGTTTCCAAAAGTTCCACAGTTTACTTATATGTGTTTGTTTTATTTTTAATGACTAAAAATGGTATTTGCTGAGAGATTTTTAAATTTGGGCGTGCTTAAAGCTCTAACAGATGTAATTTATTTTTCTGAAATAGTTGATTATTTTTACTCAATAATTTTATGTTATAGTATTATTTTTAAGGAAACTTTCTGGTTTGGGTATTTGGTTTTGATAAGAGAATTTGGTGATTGTATATAATGCATATTTTGACACACCATAGTGTTAATTGATGCCTATTCGTTAATGCTCTTTAATTATCTAGATGGGGTGCTTAGATTAACAATACCATATTTAATTTTAATTTAATTTGTTTCTTTAACTATTAATATTATTTTATCTTAGGAACATCTGTTAACAGTAATATTTTATTGCCTTAACACACATTCTTTAAGTTTTTGTAAATTGAAGGCAAGTTTTATCTATTTCAAATTGTAAGTAGCAAGAGTGGAATTCATAGATTGTTCTAATTTTTATTGGTTTTCATACTCTTTCTTGATGATAGATTGCTAATTTGTTATTGTAAAAATAATCTTTATGTTAAAATTCATTTCCTAATATATAAATCCTTGATTTCTATTTTTCTTTTCCAAGTTAATATAAATGATTCATTTAAAGCAAAGATAATATGAATATTTCCTTTTATAAATAAGATATATTTTATTCAAATAAAAACAATCGAAAACCTTTCTTCTCCATTGTCTCTGTAATATACAACCGGTCATGAAAATAAAACTATGTAATACTGATTACTATATAAATCTTAGTGCTGATGAAGACGTAATTAAGGATCACTCTAACCATGTTCCTATTCAAATTGATATCCATTACTCACAACCTTTAATTTAAATTTTTTCTGTTTTTAAATAATATATGTATTATGTCCTTTAACTCATTGAGTTTTCTGTAAAAGTTATATTCCAAATTTTAATCATTATTTCACATTGAATATGAGGAATAAATCAACAGATCTTATGAAAAAAATTATAATGTTTGATTATTTTTTTTTTCATTGCTTGATTATCCTTGGCAGATATGTAAACACATCATAATCATTCTGTTGTGGAAAAAAAAATCCCTATTAGTTATAAATATTTTACCTCATTGTTTGCAGCCACCTGGTGAAGAACTAAAAAAGAAAATAGAAGAAGTGTCACAGGCCAAGAAAAAACAAGAAGAAGCACGAAAGGTTTTTTTATTTTAACTACTTAAACATAGCTTAATGTTTTTGTTTTTTTTATCTTTTATTACTTTTTCCATTTCTTTTAATGGATTTTGTGTTTTCAATTATTCACTGTATTCTAGATTTCTTAATGTAATATTGATAGACTATAAATTTTGTCATTATTCTATATTCTGTCATTCACTCGTTTTTATATTTTGTTTAAAATTAAATATTTATAACATTTATATAACTGATTGGTCTTTTTTAGGCTGGGATCAAACTGAATGCTGATTTGAGAAAAAGAAAACAAGAATTATTAGAAAAGCAACTAAATCAACAAAAAATTTTGATCCAGAGGGTTGAGGCTGATAATATACCCTTACCACAAAAAAATTCATTGATGGCCACCATCAAAGTACTTCAAGAGAGCATTGAAAGCATCAGAAAGGATTTAGAATTCTCTGTGAAAGCCAATTTAACAAAGGTTACTAAGAAAGGTTCTCTCACCAAAGATCAGCAGGCCTTCTTCAGAAAAACAAAAGAAGAGGTTAATATTTAATTCTGTATAAATTATTAGAATCTGAAAACTCTTTAATGGTTCTGTGTTAAATTTTAAATTTCCCAAATGTTATAAAAAGATAAGAGGGTGCCACTGTACAATTGAGTGGAACAAAAAAAAAACTGTTTTCAACAGACTACTTTCTAATAGCACTCAAAAGTTGCCTTGTTATGTCAATAAAAAACGCTGAAAATTTCACTTTTTTTGTATTTATATCTTGAGGTTTAAAAATAATGTTTTTAAAAGCAGTAAAACAAATTAATGTACTTTCTTTATAATTTTTTTTTTTTTTATAAATCCCTTATTTTTTAGAATCTTGTGGAACCTCAAGATATAAATATAAAAAAGTTAGATTTTTAGGGTTTTTATTGACATACAAAGGCAACTTTTGATTGGTATTAGAAAGTTGGTTTTTCTACCACCAAAAAAATTGGTTTTTTTTTCCCACCCTACTGTATACACTATAGGCCCACTTGGCAGACTAGTTTTCCCATCCAGTACCAGTACCCTACTGTATAAGTGTCATTACAATTTGACGAGTTGGCTAAGATCTCATTATCATGTCATGGGAAATAGGATTCCAAGGATTGACATATGTTCTCAATATAACCTCTCTTTATTTAGATTGTGATTTACAAACTCCCTACTGGTCCTTTACAGTTAAAATCAGGATGTTAATTAGCTTTACTTACATATGTTCATTCAATTCCCCTCACTATGATCGCTCTGAAGAGATAAACAAAACCTCAACGTGTCCTTTTCAATAGAGGTCGAGGCCTTACCAGATGGTTCAGTCCTTTCTGTAAACTTTCAGATACACTCGGCCATTCTCAGAGTTCCATTAATCAAGAGATCTTGTGTCACCAGCCAAAGTGGAGTGACACTTTTACAGTAATACAAATGAGAGCTATTTAATAATAAAACTAAACTAAAAATCAAAATGATGATTTGTGTTACCCATGCTCCTTATGTTTTTGATATTATATAAGGTTATTACTTCATTTTTCAGATATGTGTGGATTTTTTTTTCTGTGTTGTGCTGAATCAATTTAAAGTAATTTATGGCTTTAAATATGTAAATCAGCATTTTATACTCTTTTTTTTTGCGATAATGACCATCTTTGAGCTGCTTATATATCATTTCTTGACCTTCTTGTTTGCTCATATTCTCTTTATTTTCTCACTTATCTCTCTTGCTTGTCTGTCCATTTTTTCTCTTCTCTCTTCTTCTTTCCCACTACAAGGATCTTAATGCATTTTCTGAATTTCTTTCCTTCCTTGTTTTTTTATTTTTGTTATACCAAGTCTCGTTATTTCCTCTTTCATCTGACTGGGGTATCCTCTGAGGTTTCTTAGTTCCATTATTTGGTCAAATTTTAGTTTTCATTCATGTTCCTCAAAAATTTATTCTCCTTTTGCTCAATGTTTTTATAAGTCTTCAGTTTCTTCATACAGTTGTCTTTCATTTTTAGGCCAATATTCATCTCTTACTTTACTTGGTTTGTGGATATGTCTTCAGGTTTTTATTTTTATTTTTAGTAGTTTCACCACTGTTTCAAAAAGTTCCTTTGTCAAATGTCCCCAATCTATCCAATTTTACTTTCCTACTTTTTGAGGCCTGAGTGTCTCCTCCATTATAATTCATGATTTTCTCATGTCATTTAAACTGCTTGACCATTTTTATTATTTCTTGTTTTGTCTTAATTTTCCATTTTTTTTTTCTCTGTTAATGTTCATTTTACACTTTAATATATTTCTGATTTATTTATTTTTTATTAGATACAAAGAGAACTTTTGGATGCTGAGTTAGATCTATTAAATAGTCAGCATGAAGGCAAAGACACAACAGAGTTAAAGAAGAAGGTAGCTGAACTGAAGCAGAAAGCTTTGAACTTTGGAATTCCAGCAGTTCCTCCAGTCCGTGGAGCTTACAGAGGAAGGGGTGGACTGGCTGCAAGGGCTAGGTAAATAAGATTTTTTTAGTTTCTATGCATTAAATGTTTAAGTTTGTTATACCGTCATTTAGAAACCCCATGGATTATTGATTTACTTCAAGTTAATCCAGTAACATGTTATAAAAACGTTTACATGTAGAGTGGAACTTATGTTGTTATATCCACTCCTTTGGAGTTTTTACCCATCTTTGATATCTAACTGGTTCTGCCATAAATACTGTTACAAAAGTTAAGCTTTGTTTACATTCTTGTATATTATTTAGATAATCCTTACCGCTATCAGGTAATTTTCTTTACATGTCAGGATAATAATCCCAATTAGTTTGTATTTTTCTTTCGCTCAGTCCACATGGAGATGGGTGATAAAAGAAAACCAAATAGCTGTGATGCCTTACACAAAGTTGGAAAATGTAGTTCAGAATTTTCAACACTTTGAAATTATTGAGGGTATTAGCTCTATGTTCAGCTATATAGTACCGCACTGTAAATAGATATAATGAGACCCCTATTTGCATGTGACATTATAGTGGATACATTCTAGGTGCTCCTTGGCTGTTACACCAATGGTCTTCATCGAAAGATTTTATTTAGCGATGAGAAAATTTTTATTATTGAAGAAAAATATAATTGCCCAAATCATCGTGTGTACGCACACAGCTCTAAAGAAGTCCAGGAAGTCATTGGAAAAGTGGAAAGAGGTCATAATCCGTCCTCAGTGATGGTTTGGTTTGATTGCACCACAAAGCTCCATTTTTGTGAAAAAAGAGTTAAAACAGTCGCCAAATACTATCAGGACGATATTTTAGGAACCTGTTTTCAATCCTCTAAATGATCCTCTGTTTGCTGCAAGTCATTGGGTTTTCCAGCATGGTTCCGAAAAATTAATTTTTCTGTTGAAATCTATATATATTTACTTGTAACGATATTTATATAAGGGTTTATATAACGATATTTATATAAGGGTTAGGTATATCTTGTGATATTTTTTCAATGCTAAGCTAGAAGAAAAGACAGGCGATCATCATCTGACTGGAGACTGATTATACAATAGCTCTATCAGCTCCAAGAATAGAGTTTTAGCAATTCTGATTAAATTGCCCTTTTAAAATTAATTTTCCTGCCTCAAAATTATTTTTATCTCGACTTGATGCATCGATTTGATGTATACGTTTATTTTATTATAAATTAAGCTACATAACGTCATATTGAGAATTAATTGTGAAAATAAATGATAAAGAATCTTTATAGCTTGATCAAAATTAGCTGGGAGCCTTAGGATGAACTCAAGTGGCTCCAAGTTGAAACTATTTCTTTTTCCTGATATTACTATAATACCTATGAAAAATATACAAATATATACATAAATTAGAAGACTACAATATCATAAAAACATAAAAATTTGATAACAATTTTTTAGTGATGACAGGGGGGGGGGGGGTAACTCAATGGGTATGCACGGGCTTCCAATGCTGAAATCCTGAAGGTCCTGGGTTCGAATTCGGATAATTTCAGATAATTATTCTGTTCCATCAGCTGTCGATTGACTCTGGAGTCGTGAGACCCTCCTGGGGCACACCCAGCCTCATTAAAGTAGATAGCCTTAATTAAATAATTATTAAGGAAGAAAGTCTGGCGATTGAGTGTGATCATGACCCAATTATCTCCCTACACAACAGTTGGTCTTGAAACATTACTTCCTTACAAAATACTGAAACCAAGACCCACGGTCCTGTCTCAATTTATATATGAGTCCACTGTAGTAGAGTTAAAAGCATTGAGCTAAACAATTGTTCACTGCCAGCCTGAAAATGTTTTAAATTATTACTTATGTCTTCATTAAAATTTTATTTATAAAAGATATATCACTAAATTGAATGATGAGCCCTATTTAAAAACATCTTATTAGTTTAAACATATTAAGAACAAGATGATAATGGCAAAACACATTTTAATGAATAATAAATGTTTGTATAAGGATGCACATAATAAATTTTTTTGTGTGTGTGTTGGATTTTGTTAAGATATTTCATGAATACTGGATAAATAATAAATATCTATATTTTTTTTGTCATTTCATTATTATTTTCATTTATTTACGTTTATTAGGGGACGTGGTAGAGGCCGAGGTTCAAGATTTCTTGTCACTTCTTCATCTACATCTTTTGAACACAGTGTTGTTGATCATCGCCCAACAAAGATTCTTATATCTGGTCATGAACAAGATGACAAGGCAGATGTCCTGAAACACTTTGAGGTGAGATTATAATTATATTCTATAATCTATGTGTATGTTTGGTGTAATTAAAAAAAAAAATAATAATGTAAGCAGTTGTGACGATTCTAACTAATGTTCATAAACAAGTTAGAATACAGCCTGAATTAAGAAAACAAATTACGATTTTTGGCTAATTATATGACTAGTTGAACTTTTTCACCTGACTCCTTTTCACTTTCTCCTTCACTTTATCCCTATGTGAAATTAGGATTAGTTAAAGTCTTGAAATTATTAAAGAAAAGGAATGGAATCCATTGAATTATTTTACAAATTGCTCTGATTAATTAGAAATTCCTATGAATTTCTTATCTTAGATTACAGTATATTGAAGTCTGTTAAAGTTTAAAGAAAACAAATGGAAAACTCTATATCACAAATCTGTTTTGTTTTTCTCTCTCTCTCTGTCTTTTAAACTACCAAAACAATAAATTAGTTCACCTTAGCTTTAAAAAAAAAAATTTTTTATTAACAACTAAATTTAATAAATACTTAATTGTTATTGTTATAAATGACATATGGTTTATTCAAATACAAAAATAATTAATGAGAGCCTTCCTTATAAAGAATTAGTAAACACTGGAATCACTGACTTAAATTTTTTTTATTATCAACTAACTGAATTGAACTAGACTCTCAGTCTTTGAAATGCCATCTAGATCTTATGAATAACTTTTGCTGTTTTATAACTTTCGACATCCATGAACGTTGTAAAATTAAATTTAACAATTATGATTATTATTTATAAAATATATAAATAATTAATTCTCAATAAACACCTGTAAAATTCACTACAATATGTTTCAGGAGTTTGGTGAAATTTTGGATTATTTATCAGATGATGCCACACCATCATTAGTTATTAACTACAAATCAAGAAAAGATGCTGAAAAAGCAATTTTAAAAGGAAGAAATTTTCGTGATAGATTACTCTCCGTTACTTGGGCTACTCCAAATAACAGCATAAGGTAATTATATGCAAATACCTCTAAAATAAATATTAAATATTTGACTTATTTTTATTATGATGTTTTTTATTTTTTACAGAGGAGGAATTCCTTCAAAACCTCCCACACCAAGCCATAGGCAAGTGATGGTACTTGAGGATGAAGAAAATATAGAAGAGGTTATTGAAGATGCTGAAGATGAAGATGAAGATGTAAGTGAATCTCCTTGAATAAAACTCTTGAGACCTTTCTGTTTTTATTTTCAAGCTTAAAGTATTTGGTGTGTATTATTCATTTTTATTTTTATTCTGATGGAAATACCGAATGTAGTTCATTATTATCACATTTTGCAATCCATCAAGATTTTTTGACTTTCACAAATCTTATTCTTTAAGTCGCCTTTATTGAACCCAAACTACTTAAGCCAAGATCCTCCGAATTTTGTCCTTTCCTTGAAATTACTTTTTATTAAAACTTAAACAAACCATCAATGATCCATCGATATCATTCACCACTTCTAATTTTTAATAATGTTTGATCAATAGTTGAATGGTCCGTCTAAATCCGCATTGGTAGTCTCCGATAATTTCCTCGTCGTATTCCGTGATTCGACTAGTTTAGATTAAAGTGAATATTTTATAACATACCGGAAGGAGTGAAATTCCTCTATAGTTATTACATTCAGTCCTTGGACCCATTTTGTGAATCGGAATAAAAATAGATTCTTTCCATTCTTCAGGTAATTTTTCATTCTCCAGCTTCCCCACATTCCTTAACTAGTTCACTAGGAATATTATAGGTTCCCGCTGCTTTATAAGATTTTAATTTTGCGATAGCTACTTCAACTTCCTCTTTACTCGGTTCTTCTATTAATGGTTCAGCACTCTGGTACTCAGAAGGAAGACACAGATTATAATTTCCCGTATTTAAAATAATGGTTCTTAAACTTATTTAATATGTCAACCGGATCGGTTGGAATATTGTTATTTTCATCCCTAATTCCAGACGTGACAAGCCCTAAACATTTACGTGATCTGTTTATACCTTTGTACATGTCTCTTACCTTTATTTTCAATTCTATTATTTTATTTTTAAGATACTCCTTTTTTTTTTTTGAGCAATTTTGTCATTTTGTTCTTAAAGGTTCGGATATATTCCAAATTGTCTTCGCTAGGATTATTTAGAGCCTTTAATTTAGTGGCTTTTCTTTTTTCGCACATGTTAAAGCAATCTTCATCAAACTATGGTTTGTTATTCTTATTTTCTTTTTTTTTCCTAAACATAACTTTTTTCCTGACACTTTATATTATTATTTATAATTATTTCCTACCTACTTTCTTCTTATTTTTTCTCTGGTTGGGAAATTTTTTTATTTATTTGTTCAAAATACACTATTAAAGAATGGTAGGTAATATAATAAAATAAAAAATTATTCCGATTCTTTCTTTTTTCACTTCACTAAATTCTACATTTGATTTTGTAAAAAAAACATTTTAATCTTATTAATTTTCTCTGAATTTAAATTTTTTAGTAATTTTACATCTTCCTGTGGTGCTAATTCTAATTATCTTTCTTTACTGTAATTTTACATCTAAACAGCATGTGCTGTGGTTCTTCTGGCACTTTGTAAATTTCACAATTTCTGCCCTTTTCAATTTGAGAATTCATAAAATTTCTTCCTTCGCACATGACTAATCCACAGTCTTGTTATTTTTACTATATTATCTCACTTGAGTCGGCGATTCAGAGTACACCATGGGAAGACACAATTGCCTGTAGTTGATAATGGTCTCTCCCTGTTGTTTGTGACTTAACAGTCATATCTACCCTGCCATTCCTTTATTGTTTCTTTCTTTAACAATCTTAAAGAGATCAGTCACGGGTACTTTTGTGTTCTTTTTCACATTTTCTTTTTGGAAAATTCTTATTTTGGAAGATAGATAGTTCAAATCTTACTTTAAACTAATCAATTTTTGATCTATAATAAAATTAAATAATGGCTCCTGAATATTTATAATTATAGAAATATTACAAATAGCTTTTATATATTGACAAAAAGAGCCAGCAAATGAAAATAATATAAGCTTTGTGATGACGAGAATATATTTCAAGGAATATTAAACAGAATGTAACAAAAATATTCGTAAAGTAACTATAGCCTTAATGAAGTTAAGTTATATTTTCCAACGATACCAGTAATTCATACTTACATTTCTTTGATTTTTTTTTTTTTTTTAATATAAAAATATGTTGCAAAAAAAAAAATGTTTAATATCTTTCTGAATCTTTTTAATTAGTTTTTTTTTCAATTAAAAATAATTTTTCAACTTTCTTTACAGATTGGTATCTTATCCCCTGATGTTTTAATACACGATGATGAGGATGAAGATGAAGAAGATAGATCATGGCGTCGATAGTGGGTATTCTAGTTTATTATATATGTAAGTAAGTTTGTTTTTATCTATTTGTAAGTTATATTTGGTATGGAAATGAAAGAGACGCTTTCTTATTAGATGATGGATGTTGCTCATACCATTTACTTTTATTTATTACAATTATGAAAGAGATTTTATGATTATGACATCTGTATAACAAGAATTTTTTTTCAATTTTTTTAATTCATTTAAAAGGAAGATTTTTTGCCAAGTATATGCTGTGCGTCGTGATTTATTTTTTGCTTTTAAAAACTTCTTTTTTCCTCTTTGTTATACTGCTTCAAAAATGATTAAAATAAAAATCATATCATAAATAAAAGGAAGTTATTATTGCCAAACAACTAAATTAAATTGACAACTTCCCAGGAAAAAAATAAATAATAAAAATCATTATTGTCTCATGAAAATAGGCACATGAGGATGAGGGGTTGCTGGGATTTTTTTATTCCCATAATTATAATTATGATAGTAATATTACTCACATTTAATCCTATTTAACTTAAAACAGAATGGAAATTTTGAATAAAAATCTTGTAAAATTGAAAGTTAAACACACTTTCTTTCATTGTTAATGATTTATAAAAAATTAAAATTTGTATTTTATTTAGTTATGTAAAATGCATTATTTAATAAAATTGTAGTGAAATTTATTCCAATATGTGAATAATATTTATTTAATCTTGAAACTATTGTTTAATTTCTAGTTGTTTTAATTTTCGGCAATGTTTTAACAATTTTTTTTGAGAAAATTAGAATGACAGTAATGTGAGTCAAGTTTGGTTAATTTTGAGAAAGTTAATATTTAGTAGACATACTTAAAGGATATATGTATGCTATTTATATAACATTTCATTCCCTTTATTGTACATTTAATGTGTGTAATTAGCCAAACATCCTTGAATTAAACTTGGTTCTATATCGCTGGATGGTATATGTTGGGCTTATAGGAATTCACAAATTCAATTATTGCAATTTTTACTAATTTTTGAAAACTATTTGAAATCTTATATTTATTTATTTATTTCAGGTATGTACAATGAAGTCTGACAAAATAATTTAGTGAAGAATGAACAAGTTTTAATTTTGTTTTTATGTAACAACGCAAAACCTGCTATGCAGTTAAAAAAAAAAAAAAAATAGTCATTGTATAATATTTTTTGTATATATTTGTAGATAGTTGATAATATTTGATTTGAAACTGAACAAATATTTTTATTTTTAATAATAAGATTACCCAAGTCTAAAAATTTGATTTTTGAAAATTGGATTAAGGGTAGAAAAATTTATGCTGTGAATTATTAATTATTTATATATATATACTGAAATTTTGAGTAGTGCTCGTTGTATATATCATATATGTAAATATATATGTATATTTTGAGTCTGTGAATATTTAAGTACTTAAAATTATGTACTTGTACATAACTAGAAATATTTTTAAAATTTTATAAAGTTACACTACCTACCTGACAATTAAAACTGATGTGTTGGACTTGAAAGATATATTTTAATATTACTACTTAACTGAGAAATATTTCTCTCTTATTTTCAGTGTATGTGTTTTGTAATTCTAAGAAAGTATAAAAAAAATTTTTTGTGTGGAATGTATTTTTGAGCAATCAAATTTTTTCTTTATTGTTGTTTTAATTTATAACTAAGTCTGTTTGATTATTTTTTTTTTTTTATATATTGAATGATAATAGTAAGTTTGTTTTCATACGGCATGATAAATAACTGAGTCGGACCTGACATTAATTTAAACTGCACACAAAGCATGTATTCCTTTTATGTGATTATATTATCAAAATCATGTTCTATCTTTCCTGCAGTTGGACCCCTCAAAGCAATCAGATGTTGGTTTGACACTAAATTTATTGTACCGTGTGAAAACTCCGTAAGAGTAATCATGAACTTTTGAAAAATAATAATTTATTTAAATAAAAGCTGGTGAAAAAAACTAATAATATATTTTTTTAAATTACCCATGTTAAAATAAAAAACTTTCTATTGAATTTTATCTTTTGTTCTTCCCCTTTTATTTTGCTTAAATGTTTCCAAGACTGCAATATATATATAGTCTCTATGCAAAGTTTACATAAATTTAAAGTTTACAGTTAATTATTTGCTATAGAATTTCTGAAAAAAGTAATATGGCTTCCAAAGTATTTTCTTTTAGATTCTGAAATTTCTACCTATATATTTTCTTCTGTTACATTATATTTACTTTTTTCTCTATGTTTTAATTTACTGCATTCCGTTTTTCTTCTTCAGTTAGTTTCTTACATTTTTTTCGAACATATTTGAAAAAATTCACTAATAAAAGAAAAATATCATAAATGAACAAACAGGTCATCAGTTGTAGGATTAATGAGTAACAAGATTAGTCTTCTAAATTAGGCTTTGATCGCTTGTATCTGTGAACTTCAAATTATAGTTTTCCTCAACTCCTTAAAAAGCACAAAATTAATCAAATCATGGTATTTACTCTGAAAGATTCAATGTAAAGAGATAATGAAGACAGGAAAATGACTGGAAATTGAAAAAAAAAAAAGTGTTATTGTTTGAATTATTGAGAGTTCTCTGTTTTTAAATTATACAAGTTATATTAATATTGTTACTGATTTATTTTTACTTCCTTAATAATGAAACTGATTACTATTTATTTTACTTTATAATAAATAACCTTTCACAGATCCCTTGGCATTGTACGGTCACTCATAAATTAATTTAAATTTGTCATGAGATCTCTCAAAGTTCTAACGATTCTGGAAGTCTGTTGAAACCATTGTTCCCAAAAAGTAAACCTTTGAGGTGGGCTGACAAAAAAAAAATAATTGTTCAACCAGTTATAATGGTGCATTCTGAGGATATATAAATACATTCATTTTTTTATAGTCGTAAGTGTGTAATTATAGGCTTGTTAAATCCAAACCATGAACTGGTTAGAGCTGCGTTTTAGGGAGCGCTGGTGGCTTTTGGGCTGAAGCTTTCCCTTCCCGACAAAAAAAAAAATTGAAAATATTTTTGTTCTTTGGTTTGTGTTTATTTATTACATGCATTTTCAAGTAACCTTTTTCATTTCAAATGTAATCCTTTCCAAATTAAATGTTTTATTTTCCAATTGGAAAGGCTTATATTATTTGAAATTGAAAAGGTTTTTTTTTTTTTTCTCTCTTTAACTATTTTAACTGTCATGGTACTGACAATCAGCAGATGTGTTGTGATGATAAGAATTGACATTATAGGCATGAGGAAGGATAGTACCCAGCAGCACCTCTTCCTGATGGGCATGTCAGTCGTGGCCATGTCGTTTATAAGTCCGTATGTGTTGGTTTATAGTTGGTTGTCATAAGTCGTTATGTTAAGTTTTTTTGTCGACGTACCAGGGAGCTCCTGTTATAAGTCATAAAATTTTGGATTGAAATGATTAGTTTTTTTGCCGAACTGTAAATCTAAGAGGCGTATGTCCAGATGGGTTTAAGTAGGTAAGTGTATATGTTTAGTTTTTGTCGAACTTTCAATTTCTATTTAGAAAAAAGTGAGTACAGTATTTTCAGTCGCTTGTTTAAAGTCTGTCGTTTCATTTTGACGTGTGGGCTCCACGTCATCCTGTCGAATATTAGTCACAGATAACGTACTGTGTTTGTCTGAGGATTTGGTTCTCTCCCATATAAACTGGTAGGCACGTTTCTTGTCAAAGTATAAATGTTATATGTTGTGACTTGTCATAACTTAATCTTATTTTGCAAAGTGAATATTAATTTTGTAAAGCCAGTAAGTGATTTTGTAAATTCATTGAGGCTAGTCTGAGTCTGTTTTGTTAAAATTGGTGTATCATCATGGTAGGTGGCGGTCAATGTTTCAGAATTAATAGGTATGTCATGCATATATATATATATAATGTAGAGTAAAGGAGCCAGTATTGATCCTTGAGGTACACCTGCTAACACTGGTAGAATTGAGGAAATTTCTATGCCCTGTCGGACAGAGAAAATCTGTCGTAAAGGAAATATTAGAGAATGAGGTGATATGTATGAGGTAGTAGTGTTTTAAGTTTAAAGAGAAGTCCTTGATGCCATACATATATTTAGTTATTCGGAGAATATCTTTGTAAAAAGAAATACTTGCCAAAATAGTGTTACGTTCTGTAACATAGTCAGTTATCGGCTGAGTTTATCTGTATCCGCTACCTTATCTCAAAGGAAATGTCGGAATTCAAGGTTGAATTGCAAATAGTGTCGCATCTATGTTAGGAAATTGTTACATGGAATGGAAAAAGTTATATTTGAAATGGAAAAGGTTAGACTACATAGGAAAAGGCAAGTGACTACATGCGTGAAAATGTTATACAAGGTGAACTCTACATTCGAAGTTTAATTAAGGTTCAGTCTCATCACTATGCAAATTGAATCTCATTCTGCCAATAGGACTGCTTTGAGATCTTCAATTCAAACACCATGATTTTGCACACACCTTCCTAATTCATCCCACAAATTTTCTATTGGGTTCATGTTTGGTAATTGGGGAGGAGTGTGCAACAGTTTTGGAACATTGGGGATTGACCATTGCTTTACTTTCTTGGTGGTATGCTTAAGATAGTTGTCTTGTTGAAAAATAAACCCTGGTATAAGTCCAAGTTTTACAGCAAAACTTTTTAAATTGGTTCTTAGAATGTTTAGGAATACACGGTGGTCCATAATTTCATTAATAAAAATGAGATTTACAACTCCTAAAGCACTCATAGGCCCCCAAAGCATTACATATCCACCTCCAAGCTTGAAAGTTGGTCGGGAATTCTTTGAAACCAGTGCTTCTTTGTCTTTTCTCCAGACATGACACCTACCATTTGGTACAAAAAGATTGAATTTGGATTTATCTGAGAAGATCATAAAATTCCAGAAACTTTTTGGTTTATTCGCATACTCCATGGCAAATGCCAATCTCTTCTTCTTATTTGTTTGGTTTTTTTCATGCAATTCGTCTATGGAAAACTTTCTTTCTCAGAATATTCTTGACAGTTTCTGGATTTAGGCATACCTCGTAATTTCTTCCAAGCCCACTGGCTAAGGATCCTGCACTTGTATAGGGATTAGAATAGTTCCTTTTTCAACACTTCAATGTATAGCACTTGGTTCAGAATAGTTTTCCTATGAAATCTATCCAATTTTCTTTGACGGTCTAAAGGAGGCCTATCCTCCAAAGTTTTTAGTTCACTGTGTCTATTCAACACTTACTGCACAGTTGCATGCGATTTATTTAGTAAAGTTCCAATTTTTTTTTTTGGGGGGGGAGGAATCCTTGACTTCTTAACAGCACGATTTTTTCACAAATGCACTGCTCTACAGGCATAATGATGATTTAAAGTAGGCTCAATCTTGACTAAACCTTGATGTGTAATATTCAGATAATATTTTATAACGAAATAAGGACATTGAATAGAAATAGAATTAAGATATTATATTATAAATATTATATGTATGGAAACTGTTATGAGATTCAGATTAAACTTGCTGGCTCTTCCAGCTATGGGGTTAGTAGGATTAGATACATACAATGATAATTATTTTGGAAGAAAAATAAGAAACAAACTACCTGTATGAAATAATTTTTGATGCTCTAGAAAAAAAAACGTAATTACATGAACAATAATACTTTTAGGGTAATTTTTTCATAATACATCATTACATTTAGGTATTATAATTATATTTAAGCATTTAGCTCTAATAATAAATTTGGACTAATAAAATTATTTTTTCCAAAAGTATGGAAAGTCCTCTTCCCCCTCCCCCATAGATCCCATTTGTTGCTGTTCATGCACCTCTAGGAAGGACTGTTTTTTTTATTTATTTTTGGGTTAGAGGAACCTTCAGGAGCTATTCTTCAAATTTTTTGTGATTTACGTTTTCATTAACAGTTTTCTAGATTTTAAAATAGTAACTGAAGTTCTTTGTTTTAATTTCAATGTATTACATATTATGATTGTATAAGTATTAGGATCAGAACCACGGGCGGATCTACGTGTGAGGGGGGCTTTGGGGCTGAAGTCCCCCCTCAAAAAATGGTAAAATATAACCATGTTTTATGGAAAAAAATATTAAGAAATAATCTCTTGTTCGTGTAATTACATTTAAAAGGACTTTAAGAATCACTTAAACATCATTTCATATAGGTAGTTAGTTTATTTCTTTTTTTCCAGAGTAATTATCGTTATTTTTATGAAAAAAAAAGTTTTCAGGCTGAAGCCCCCCCCCTCCAAAATTAAATCCTGGATCTGCTAGTTCTCAGAATACTCAAAGTTACAAATACAAACCAATGAAAAAAGTTAGTTTTCTATTTTGGGAGGTGGGAGGGAAGGCTTCAGTCCGAAAATATGATTTATGCATTATTTCTTATTGATTTTTCACCTCCAAATTTTTTTAACCATTATTTAAACTTTTCAGTTCTGATATTCTCATTAAATATGCTCGTAGGATAAAGCGTTTAGAATTTTGATGGTTCACATAATACTAATATACAATTCTTATAACATTTACAGAAACTATTGTTTTCTGGATATATTTTAACCAATCGAAAAATGATAGATAAGTACCTTATAGGAATTAATATGTTTTAAAGAAAGCGTTCCGTTTGTTGCGTAGTAGTTATAGTAACAGTTATCGATCAAAACATTCAGTCTACGAGGGAACTTGTGATGTTTCAATCTCCTAAATTAATGTAATTATTAGCTTTAATTATGGAGAGATCGTTTCCGGAATTGAAGTTACCTGGGTAAGAATTACTGTTGAATAATCTGTATTATTGCAACAATATAACTTAATAAATTACTTAATCCGTCCATGCAGAGAAGGAACACTATTGGACTATGCTGTTCAAGAGATTATGAAAAAAGAAACGATTGATATAGAATACGTGGAACCGAATCAGAAGTCGATATTATTTGTGGGAAACACTTCTTCTGTATGGTCTTTGTTGTGTTGTATTATTCATATCAACTATTTAGTATTTGAGATATCGACATATTTTTTTAGGGAAAGACATCACTGATTCAGAAATTCTATGGCACCAGTGATTCGATTGAACCTACCTTCATGTTGGATTATTTTCCTTCACCACGAAACTACTTAACAATCAACAATGTAACTATTTTATACTTTAATAACGTTAGTGGAATGACGTTAATGTAATCAAAAGTTTTTGTTCAATCTTAGTGTCCAAAAAAATAAATGAATACCTATAAATGTTACTTCCTATTTTTGAAAAACTCGTTTACCAGTTATTACAATATTCATTATTCATAAAATACTATTAATATTAAAATAAATGAAGTTATTTTGCTAAGAACAGAAAAAGGCCCTACTTTACAAATGTTCCATTTTGATAAGTGGGTACAAGATCTCATGATCACATTAATAGAATCTGAGAATAGACAGAAGTGTTCAAAAGTCAAGTGAGGCTCGATATCAACCGAATAAGACCCAAGGGATTTGTTTATCCATTTTGAGTGAGCGGAAGTTGAATGCATAGATGTAATTACAATTTATTAAGTCCCAGATTTTAACTGAAAGTACCAGTTGGGAATTTGAAAGTCGTAAATCGTGATCTAAATAAAAGGAGGTTATGTAGTTAATATGTCAATATATTTGACAATCTTATGAATTGTGCCAATCCATTGAAGTGGAGCAATACTTATAAAGTAGTACCTTGAAAAGGCACCGCTGTTTCATGGCAAAAGTGCGTCTAGACAATTCACAAACTATGGACAAATAAATATATAAATGTTTATTTTAATATGTTAGTATTTTTGTTTCTTGTTTTTGATATTTTCTGTCTGCTGTCGGTATTTAGAGAAATAAAATAAATATTTTAGCTGAGCAATAATATCGCTATTAAGTAGTTAAGTTAGATAATTGTGTTTTTCATGGTTGTGAAATGTCTTTGTACATCTTAAAGCTCACCTTATATAGAAAACATTTAAAGAAAGGAAAAGTTGATTGTAGTAAAGAGCGATTTGCTCTTATCAGATACATAACATCTAAGATCATTTTTAAAAAGGAGATTTAATAAATGAAGAAAAATAAAAATACCTTTATTATATTTTTTTAAATTAATAATTATTGGCTCAAACCAGATCCACTTGTTAATGGACTTCCTCTCTAAGCAATACTAATGATTTACAACAATAAAAATAATTAATCTTGTAGAACCTGACATTACATATTATTAATTCTTGAAATGACTTAATTGGCAAATTAGTCTTCTTAATTGGCCATTATGAATAAATAAATAAATAAAATATATTCACCAATCTATTTTACAATAGGTACAACTGTATAAAGTCGTTGTTATATTTTAATTTTGTTATATTTAATTCACTATGTTGTATTATGCTTTTAAAAATCAAATGAATCACAGAATTTGAATTACTATTAATATTAAATATTAAAATAATGTTTTCTAAGTTATTCTACATTATGCTGAAAAGAAATATAATTAAAAATTCTGTTTCATCAAATGTGTCTACCAACAAAATTTTTTTTTTATGTTCAATTTTGAGATGTGTATTATGTAGCTCAAATAATTGTTTACTAAGAAGTTAATTTGCACTGCGAAATTCTAAGCTACAAAGAAGACAGTCTCACTTGTCAGGACGTTTTATGAATTTATTTTATTAATAAAACAAATTTGTAGATTTTTTTCGTGTTCCAGTTTTAGGATTTGGAGTTATCCCTTTTTGTTAGCAAATGCCTAATTTATTGTTGATATATTTATTATATAATACATTGAGAACAATTATACCTAAAACATAACACTATTTAATAAAACTTTTATATGATTTAATTATCAGGAAACAGCAAATTGCCATATTTGGGAATTGGGAGGTGGTACATTGTATGAACAAGCTTTATCCTACCTTATCGATTCTCCAGACCTAACGATATGTCTGTGTTTAGATCTTTCTAAGCCTCAGTTTCTATATTATACTCAAGAAGAATTACTGGACATTGTTTTAAAATTCCTTAAAGGCAGAAGCGATTTCAAATCAACTCACAAATTTCGAGTCACAGCAATACCTAATGACCATCCTGTAAGTATTCTTCATTAAAAGTTTTTAGTATGAATATAATTGTTTCACAATATATATATATATACATATATATATATATATATATATATATATATATATATATATATATATATATTGCTCTGTTATTTCTGATAGAAATATTTCTTACTAAAATTTTTCTATGTTTAAATTTAACTCAACTATTTATTACCACTGAAAAATTTCTTGATTTCTTCATTTTATTTCTTTTGTAGAAAAGTTTTTGCAACACATTGTTAGTCTGGATAAATGTTGCTCCTGAATATGTTTAACTCTTTTTTTTTTCTGCCCCTTCCTCACTTTTATGCTATATGAGGATTTTCCCAGGCCAGGGGATTAATTCCAGAGTTAAAAGCTGTCCCCTCCCTCTCTCCCTCTCCTATCTCCCCCCTCTCCCCGCACCAGGAAGCGAACTCTTGATTATTTTAAACAAGTAAAGTTCGGTTTATATGTGGTTAGCCTGCTCGGCCATCCCACCCTCTGAATATGTTTAAGTATAAAAAGTAAATAAAAGTTTATACAATGAGAATGGGACTATACAAAAGAAAGGGGAAGGAATATTCTGATTAATAGAATCGATCTCCAAAATGTTAACAAAAAAAAAAATTGACTAGTCTGAAGGAAGTTATAATTGCTAACCTCACTGGAAAAATTTTAAATTAAACAAGTTTATCTATAAAAGGTCTCTTATGATCATTGACTCTTCTTTATGATAACAGTTTTGTTTTTTTATGTATGACCAATAATAAAACAAAATAATAGACCAATAATAGAAAAACAACTTCATTATTTTGAATTTTTAAGGTATTTTAAGTAAAGATGTACAAGTAAAGTTATATAAATAACTGTATGAATAATTCCAATGTAAAATAAATCTACAAATGGGAACTAAAGAAACTGTTTTGTCAATGCTATATATGTCTCTTTAAGAATCAACATTTTTTCTCTTTGATAGATGAACTGGTGATACAATGATGTAGGATATTGTATTTGAGATTATCTAACAAAAATAGAATATTAATTTGTAGAAAAAATAAAAATTGAATTACCTGAGATTTTTTTTTAAATGTGTTGAATAAAAAAAAAAATTAGAAGTTCGAACAATGTACAATTTTTAATTTATAAGGTTCGAATCATTAAAGTTTAGCTGTTTATTATTCATTTAATGTGAAGTTAGATTATGAATTAGTTAGAATGTGCACAAGGATACAAAAATGATAAATGTTTATTGTTCTATTCTTAAAAAAGGTAGTGAAATTTCTATCTAATTTATTTTACTTAGTAATTATTGAAATAACTTAAATTTATTTTTAATGCAGAGATTACTGATTCTAGGATGCAGGACATCTGAAGCCATACCCATTTCCACTTATAATTATTGGTACCATGTATGATGTATTTAATGTATGTAATTTTCAAAATTTTAAGTTTAGCTGTAATTGATCAAATGATAAATAGCCATTAAGTTTTGTTTTGATCAGAAATTCGAACCTGAAAAGAAACGGATAATCACTCAATTTATGAGGTATCTCTCTCATCTTTATGGGGCATATCTCTTCTATTGGACTGATCGAAATAATGAAATTATCAAACAAGCAAAAGATATTTTGAAGCATTATGCGTATGGAACAGATGCACTGTATGTATTAAATTAATTTATGTTCCATTTTAGGTATGTTAATTAAGTTCCTTAATAAATATTTATGCTTATTAAGTTATCAGTTTTTACATAATCTGCACCTAAATTTCTATTCTAAATGTTGATTTTACTTCTCAATATTATGTTTTGTATTATGTTAAGAGAAGAATGTTGCTTAATATTTTCATTATAGTACTTGAAACTTTGTGTTTATTTTGTTATGATGAAGAAATCAATTGAAATATGTATTTTTGTTGTTAGTCTGTGATATTTAAGAAAATATAATTATAATGAATTGATCAGTTTTTTTATTCTATATTCCATAATCTGGAAACATAATAAAGGCAGACATTCATTTTTATTATTTTAGGATTTGATGAATACAACTTTTTTTGTACTTTTATTTTTTTTCATAGAAAAATAAAGAAAACTGATTACAATAGAGCAGTTATTGTATCGCCATATTTAGATAATCTTAATGAAATTGATGCTACTGCTTCTAAAATGGAACATTCACTGGAAAAGTACAGACTTCTTTTAGAAGCTCATTTCCCTCAGGTATATGTTTTTTTACAATCATGAGTTAAAAATTAACTTTTTTTTTACCTTAACTATCTTATATTTACGAATACTATAATATATTTTACGAAATATATTATAGTATATCGACATAACGTAATTTTAAGATTACAAATGCCAGGTACAACTTAGACAAACTATACAAAGGTAACAAATTTCATGAAATTAGAACTTTTTCGAATTAGTAGTTCAATTATTTCCCAACTAATTAAAATGTAGTAATTTATAAATTTTAAAAAAAATTACAAATTTTTTAATGGTACTACAAAACTAGCTAAATCCAAAAAGTTTTTGGTTGCCATAAATTTAGTTTTTGTTCTGAATATTCTTTTTATCAATATGTATAGATATGTGCCTAAATGGCCATAACATAATTTGATAATTCATAACATTTAGCAAGCAACTGAAATATTTATAACAATGAATCTGGGTGGTTTTGAAGTTCTATGCTTATATGTATACTATTAATATTGATAATTAAGAGGGAAAAATTATCATGAGATAGTCATTTACCATTAGCTAGTTTGATCAACCGATCTTCTATTTGCTTTCAATTTATACTCTTTCGTACTTCGAAAATAGCCCAATCATCCTATCTATATCTTGAAAAACTTTTCGATGCTGATAGCTATTTATATGCTATGTTCCCTTTAATTACACAAGTAAATGTTAATGTTGTGACATTCTTAGATTAAATTTAATTTTTCCAATTTTTATTACTAATTTATATAACAGTAAGATAACTTTAAAAAATATTTGTACTATCAATATTAACACAATTTTTTATTTCAGAAAAAGATATCTAAACCAATTTCAGAAGAAAATCCTGCAGATAATCCTAAATATGCTGACCCTATTATCGATTTGATTAGAAAACAGCAGCTTCAAAAGGAGGCCCTATTTGAAAAATGGGATAAGAAACGCGAAGAAGAAGAAACAGAAAAATTCAAAATTGTCAGTATAACATTATATATTTTATAGTACTTTTATTTTAAGTTAATATATTTTTTAATTATACTATTTAAATGTGCATTGTCTGCGATTTTAATTAAAATTTGATTGTATGAATTTGTAAATGTTTATTTATTATTAATATTTTAAATTTATTGTGATTGTTTATTGGGTTTGATGTCTTTATTTAAGCAGACTAGATTATGTGGTTTCATCATTAAATGAAAATCAATTCTTACAACAAATCAAACTAGCACTGCTTCTAAATTAGATCCCTTGCCTAGTGGAGAGATGCTACAAGCATTGAGCAGCGGGAAGATAACGATAGAGCTTAGAGTGTGATAAGGAATGAGTTTATGAGAGGAGAGAGAGGACAGGAGAAAGATTAATAATGAAGCAATGCTGCAAGTGCTTACTATATTCAAATTTTTTTCTTCCTTTCTTGTGTACATTTGTGTCCACTTATTTTTTTCTTCTCACAATGGATTTCTTGTTAATGGACTATTCTGTTATATTTTAATATTATTTTTTAAATTTCAATTAGAATCCCATCACACCTAAAGGAAGACTGACATATTTTCATTATTTTAGAAAAATTTACAAGGCTCAGAGCCAAAACTCCTATTAAACCTCATCCAAATAACCATACAAAATTATTATTAACAAACAGTTGAATCAGTGATTAAATTCCTAAAATTGATTTTAGATCAGTAAAATATTCGGTGTTCTGTACTCTGAGTATTTTCTGCTTACTTCTGGTAATAGCTAGTTTTTTTTTTTTAGTTTTAAATGTTACATGCTTCAGGGAAAAATGAAATTTAAACTTCTGATAAAAGACCTCAACATTTATGGATGTGAACACACCAATCAAAAATTGTTTTATTTACATATTATATCATAATAATGATTACATGCTTGTGTTTACAATTAACTTACACCACAGGCGGTTCTACGGGGAGGGGAGAGTCTTTTGGGCTGAAACCCCTTCCCTCCCTCAAAATGGTAAAATGTAGCCATGTTTTATGGACAAAATATAAAAACATTATCTCTTAGAGTATTATTGTTTGTGTAATTAAATTTAATAGGACTTCAAGTATCACTTAATCACCATTTCATATAGGTAGTTAGTTTTTTTTTTTTACTAATGTAATTATCATTATCATGAAAAAAAAACCTTACGGGCTGAATCCCCCCAAAATTTAATCCTGGATCCAGTAGTGCCTTATAGATGCTAGTGGTGTTATTGCTATTTAGTAATTAGAAATATAAATGTTATCCAACACAAATGTTAATTTTGACTATTATAATGGATTCAAATTTGAAAGAACTTCTGTTTGATTGGAATATTATCACAAAAATAAATACTGCTAACAAAAGATCAATATTTATAAGAATAATCAAATTAACTATAGATACTGGTAATGAACGTTATCAATTACTTATTTATGATTTTATATTTTGTCATTTTTAAAAATATCTGACAATAGTTAGTACAATATTAAAATTTGTTTTCAGATTAATCCATTTGCTGACATTAAACCAGACAAAATAAGAAATTCTGAAGAGGAAGATGAACTGATAGATTTAAAAGGTATTAGTTTGGAAAGGACAGTTTCATGTCAAGTAGTTTTACTCTATTTTAAGGATTTAGATAGATTTCACATTTTCATTAGACATCAAACAACTTTAATTTACCACACTACCTTCAGTAGAAATTAATTTTCATAAAAATTTTCTGATTTATGGATGTTGGAAAATGAAAATACCATAATTATAAAAAAATGAAAGATTTCACTTAACGTTTTAATTATACTTATTTCTTAATGTTTTTTTAAAGGCTTGAATATAATCTTTACTTTGAAAACTTCCTGGTCTGATCTTTACTGTTATGTTGTATGAATTATATGTTTATTGTATTAGGGTGTCCCTTCTTCCTTTTTCTTTCTTTATTGTTTAAGGTTGATTTACTGTATTATATATGAACTGTTCTGCTCTATTACTTTCTTCCATATTTCAGGAAGTCTTTTATACCCTTTTTCCAAAATTGTTGTGGGTTACTTGCAAAATATTTATCAAAAAGTATTTTTATTTTGCTCTCGGACTTTTGACATTTATCATAGAGAGAATTGTTTAGCAAAAGGAATAAGTAATAATCGGATGAGGCAAGGTTCTGGGGAGTATGGGGTAGAATGCCCCATTCAAAATCTTTAAGAATTCCTGTCTTACAGCCAACCCAACATGCAGCTTCCTGAGAGAAGAAGAAATAATAGAGCAAAAAGATTCATATATAGCACAGTAAACCAATCTTAAACAACAAATAAAGAAAATGAAAGAAATTTAAAGGACACGCTAATATGATACATTTTTAAGATCAGCATTTAGCAACTTTGGAGTGGGGTAGCTCAGTGGTAGGGCACTAAGCTTCCAATGCTCAAGGTAGCAGGTTTGAATCCCTGCTCATGGCAGAAAAATTATTTATTCTGTTTAATTGGCCGTGGGGCGACCCTGGGGTAGGGAGACCCTCCTGGGGCACACCCAGCCTCTACAAAGTGGGTACCCTTAATTAAATAATTGGTTAAGGGGAAAACCTAGCGGTTGAGCGTGATCCTGGCCTGATCCTCTCCCTGCACAACCGTTGCTGTTGAAACAGCACTTTCCTTAAATAGTACTGAACCCAAGACTCTTTATGGGTTGTAGTGGTACGGTGTTTTTTTTTAGGAACTTTACTTTTTGCTAGTTTCATTTATACAATGGTTCTATTTTTCCATAAATGTCCTTAAATAATCTAAAATTTAAAAAAAATACACTGCTCTGAAAAACTATACAATAATTATATCTATAAAATATTCCAGTGGATATAAAAAAATTCCAGATTAGTTTTCTTTAACAGAGATAGTAAGGCTGTAAACTGCATATCACTGATCTATCCATATTTAACCTTAAACTTTTTTAAAATATATTTTCTTTCAATAATTATTAAAGTTTATTATTTCATTTTATATATATTTTTTTCTTTCAGTTAATGAAATAAAGACTGAGGATCAGAAGAAGATATCTCAAGAAACATAAATGTAAATTTTCAAGATTTTACTATTTTATGAAGTTTTTGAAGAAGTATCATATTTATAAAAGATAGAGAACATTTTTATTGTACTTCTTATATTTTGAATACCATGGAAATATATAACTATAATCTTCTAAATATTTTTTACAGTAGCATTGTTCTCTTTTCTGACTCTCAGGAGTGATGAATTTTGATAAACAGGTGTTGAAAAAAAAGAAAAATAAAGGAACTTCATGAAGAAATGAAAAATGACAATTCTGATCCTTAAATTTCTATTGAAATTCAATAGAAATTATTACAAATGGCTAAGACAAAGTTAGGGACAGTTAACTTATAATAGTATTGAAAAGCAGACCTAGCTTATAGATATTTGACATATTAAGGTGTGGATGGGTTTGAAACTAATGAAAAAAGCTTCTTGCGTGTCAATAAATAAAAATGACTTGTCCGAAACAAAGATGCGAAAACTTTATTGTGGAATTTTTTAATGAAATGGTTCAAGTACTATTTTTTTTTTGTAGTAATGAAAAAAGGGTTATTTTGATTTTGAAAAAGTTAAGTATGCTAGTTGTATATTGTATCTTATTTGACCATACTTATCTCTCCACTGGCTTAAAGAGATTTAAACTTGTTTGTTTTCTCTGACTCAGTTGTTTTTAGTCATAGTTTTTCTTCAGTTTGAATTTTTTTTTTGACAAATATTACAATCAGCAACATTCAAAGGCAATAGTATGAATTAATCCATTAATTGTATATAATAGAATTACTCATTAATTTTTTTTTTTTAAATACAACAAAAACAAAATTCAAGAAGGATTAAAAATTAAATTCTGAATGTCATTAATAATGAAACTTTCATGAAAAGTTTAGTTTTACTCTAAAATTCTTTAAATAAATAAATATTAAAATTCATCGACAGTTGTTTCAACTTATCAAAGACACTTTTTTATAACTAAATTGTTAAAATTTCAAAAAGGTTTACACATGCACATCACAAGTTTATTTTAAATTTTTTTTACTTTTATTATTTATTTATATGATATTTACAACTGTATACAAAAAATACATCTATTAAATTTGCACATTGGTATAAAGACATGGAACACATGTTGAGAAACTACCCATTGGTAGCACTCAAATTTTTAAATTCATCATCTCTTAATGTTTATTAGACATTTAAAATTAAATTAAGCAAATATTCTTTGATAGAAAAAAGTGTGGCCAGCTAATGCGTATTTAATTTTAAATATTATTTAGTATTAATAATTTTTAGATAATAACTTTAATACAGCCAAGTTGAGTTCTGTTCTGATCAATAATCTTACGATAGATTTAAATATACATTTTGTCATTGCTATTCAGAAAATATCTGTGCAATAAATATAGAAAATAGCTGAATATTAGTTTCTTATCAGTCGTTAAAATAGAAAAAAAAACCTTCAGCTTTATTCTATGAAGTTTTTAAACTATAAACCTATAATTTATGAAGGTAAAAGTATTGATAATACAACAAAGCTGCCAATCAACTGTATCACAATCAGTAAACATTAAGCTTCACCATTTGTCAGTTATACATATGCTGTCTTCAAATATGTTACACCTAATCTCACGGCTCAATTTGATGATTCATAAACAACTCTGTAGAGAGCAATTATCTTAGTTACAAGCACGTTAGCAATTATCTATTGCAGAGTGGAAAGCAGTTATTGAACATGTTGAGTCTGTCAACATTAATATTTTTATTCGGAGCTAATTAATATTTAATAAATCTTAAAATCAGTAATGTGTGGAATTTTTACGAACTCCAATAAATTAATATGGGGGCAGGAACAAAACTTGTTAAAAGAAATTTTAAAATCTGTAATTAACATGATGAATTCGTAAATTTTACATAAATTACATAGGGATTTTCCTCCTGCGAGAAGTTAGAAATTAATCTCTCTTAAAGGAAATTGGATTATCTGAATTTTATTAGTTTAAATGATTTTTTTTCAGTGGAAAAATATCAAAAATAAGTGGAAATATATGGATAAATGAACCATATATTTTTCATTTATGAATATCTTACATTATTCTCTTATATATTTATAAAATGATAAATAGAGGTCAACCTCTCAAATCAAAAGAAACCTTAAATAATACTGAGAATTCCCCTGGAATACTAAGAAAATGAATCGTTGAAATAAATTTTAAAAATGTATCATTTGGAATATTATTATGATTTAATGTGTTAAATGAAATGAAACTCAAATTCAATGGTAAAAATATAATTCAGTAGTTTTTAAAAGGCTACAAAACAAAAGACTTTAAGTAAGAATGTTTTGAATTATATTATTTCCTATAATTAATAAATACTGAATGCAACTTTCTTTCAAAAATAATGTTATTAAGATTTAGCTAATGCATGTAATTATATCTGAAAAATAGATTTAAAAGACTCCAATTTGATTAGGAGACCTATGGATAAAAAAAAAGTTTATATTCCGTGCTAATTAATAATAACACAATTACTATTATTTGTATGGATATACTTGAATATTTGTTAAAAAAACAATTGAATGCATTACATATTCAGCCTCCAAAACATAGGTACGTTTCTAGAACATTTTGAGCTAAAAATAAGTAATGATAAAAACTGAAAAACATTTATGATCCTTTAGTTTGCTCAACCTTAAAATAAATTGAGAATAACAACTGAATATAGCATGTGTTGATAAAAAAAGTCTTTATAATCTGACAAGTTATATAAAAACAAAGATATATTAATAATAAAAGTATAACAATCACAATTACAGATGGGTAAGTCATGAAAATTTAAATTATTTCTTTTATAATGTTAATATTATTTTTAAAAAATATTTGTACTTATACAAATTTGATATTATCCACTCTCTTTTATTATTGGGGAGGCGATTGTACCCCTGTAGTCTGCGCTGATGATCCCCCTATTTTCGCCTTAGGGCATGAATTTTTATTATTGATTCTATTAATGAAAGGGTTTTAGAATCATAATTTCCTAATAATCAACATTTATAAAATTATTTACTCTAAATCAAGGGGGAGGAGGAGGGGTCTCAGGGTGCGAAAGGGACTTTCCCACCCTCAAATTGGAAAAATAATTTATTTTTCTCATTGTTCCACATTTGTTTATGTGAGAAATCTAACCTAAATACTTAAACAATCACAATATATTGTTTTTTTTAAATAATGCGAGTACATTTACTAAATGTAAGCTTAAGTAATTAAAAAAATGATCTCTAAAAGTATTATTCTTCCTGCAATTACTTCTTAAACATCATTTTATGTAGGTAGTATTTTATTATGCTTTAAGAGTAATTGCCATTAGTTAAAAAATAATCCCCCTCTCTCCAAAATTGAATCCTGAATCTGCTTACTTTTATGGGATATAAAAAAAAACATATGTATAATTTTTAAAATGCCTAAGTCGACAGAATATATATTAAATCCTATTAGTATTCTTTATTAAGTCAATTTAAACAAAATATTTAAAAGTAATAATTCTCAACATCCATAAACTACTGTTTGTTATCAGTGTAGCCATCTGTCATTCGCGCGAAGCTGCCCTAGGTCAGTTCTGAGTATACTTAATCTTAACATTAAATGTGAGCAGTGTTGGTATTTAGAACAGAACTATTGTTCTTCGTTGGAGGCTTCTGATTCCCGAAACAGTCGGTTTCCCCATTACAGGGCTATATATCGCAACGACACGGTGCTTTTCAGTCGCCGATTTATAATAGAGGCCATTGTCTGCCGTGACGAGTGGCGCGCATGCTCTCAGTCTCTTAGTCTTCGCGCTACCATGCTCGGTGTTAACAACGTCTGTACTTCTTACGTCGCTCCGGATCCAGGACCAGAGGCCACCGCCATCCTACAAAGCCGCAATGTTCCGGAAAAAACGGTGAGATTGATATTAATATTATGTTCTATTTTTTATCATCTTAGGCCCATTGGCAACTTGCCCCTGCTCTAATTTAGGAAGTAAACAACTGCAGTTTCTACATTTAAACTATTCTTAACCTTAAGTTATTCTAAAAAGGTTTTAAAATTATATACATTTAATTTTTTTTTTTTTAATCTTTAGTTTATTATTGATATCCTGTTTGGCGTAATAACCAAGTTGTTGATCGCCGAGGACAACTCGCAATCTAATCTTGATATCCTGTTTTAAATATCGAACAGTACTTAATTTTCCATTTAATTGAGCAATTGTCTCTGTAAAATTAGAAAAAAAAATTAAATCTTTGATATTATTTCAGTCATAATATATTAAAATATTAGTTTTCTTGAGACATCTGTCATTTAAAAAGCTTTAATTTTAAATAGAACACAATGCATAACTGGTATAATTTTAAATGCATTTATTCACTTCGAGTTTACTATACAATGCAAATAGTAATATTATGCCATGTATACTCTTCTAATTTGTACCAATGTACTTTATTGAAGCTGTCATTATTTTGTATTTGAACCATATTACTTGGTATCCTGGACAATTCGATTAATCGATTGGTCGTTTCCCTCTACACGGGTTTAGGCGGTTTTGTCAATTTTTTATGTTACTTATTACTTTAAATTTATTTATTAATATTTGAAATTTCCTTTTGTTTTAAAATTCTCTAACTCACCTATTAACCTATCTTAATATTAAAAAACAATATGTATTATATAACATTTAAACAACAATTGTGATCCAGGATTTTAATTATTCAAATATATCTATCGATACATATATATACACATAGGGTTTCCCCTGAGTAATGGAAATATACTTGAATTAATTCCAAACATATTATTGTATAATTATCAGCAAGCTTCTTTTTTAAACGTAAATATTAGAATTCAAAACATTTAGTTGGTCACTTATAAATGCGGATCAATTCCTGTCATAGAGATCTAGTAAAAACCACTATTTTAATTTTGTTTTTGCAAATAAAATGTGTATTTATTAAGTTTTGTTAATTATAATGCATTTCAAAACATGAAAAAAAAATTTAAAGCTTTGCAATAATTTATTTTAATACTTTTTTTTTCTGAAAACACGGATATTTTTTGATAGGATACATTCCAAATCATCTCATTTTTTAACAAACTTGAGGTGAATCTGAACATATTTCCTAATAAACCCCAATTCCTCTTTAAGTTATTTTATCAATGACAAACTCTACTTTTGGTTGAATTAAATTTTGTCTTGCTTACTATGAAGCAGCTGTTAATTAGTTAAATTAAATATTTGTTTAGTTATCGCTTCCTATTCAGCAAACATATAACAATATAGGTTATACTGATGTTCAAACGCAAAACTAAAATTTCCTTACTTTTCTGTGGAAAATCGGACTATTGTTGATATGCATTTTTATAGCTCTTAAGATCTGCTATCATTCCTTTAAATATTTCCCTCTCCTTACTTATATGTGTTTGTATTTTATTTTTATTAATTTTTTAAT